ACCATTGGACGGCCATCTAGACAAACACAAATGGACGGCTGTTTGGATCAAGTGTGAACGGAGACCAGGGGTTAAGGGGACTGTGTAAAGTAGGTTATTGGGGTACAATGAGGGGGTCGTTCGGTACGTGTGTTATGTCCCTTGCTACGTGTGTTATGTCCCTTGGTACGTGTGTTATGTCCCTTGGTACGTGTGTTATGTCCCTTGCTACGTGTGTTATGTCCCTTGCTACGTGTGTTATGTCCCTTGCTACGTGTGTTATGTCCCTTGGTACGTGTGTTATGTCCCTTGGTACGTGTGTTATGTCCCTTGGTACGTGTGTTATGTCCCTTGGTACGTGTGTTATGTCCCTTGGTGCGTGTGTTATGTCCTTGGTACGTGTGTTATGTCCCCTATATCCCTTGGTACGTGTGTTATGTCCCTTGGTACGTGTGTTATGTCCCTTGATACGTGTGTTATGTCCCTTGGTACGTGTGTTATGTCCCTTAATGCGTGTGTTATGTCCCTTGGTACGTGTGTTATGTCCCTTGGTACGTGTGTTATGTCCCTTGGTACGTGTGTTATGTCCCTTGGTACGTGTGTTATGTCCCCTATATCCCTTGGTACGTGTGTTATGTCCCTTGATACGTGTGTTATGTCCCTTGGTACGTGTGTTATGTCCCCTATATCCCTTGGTACGTGTGTTATGTCCCTTGGTACGTGTGTTATGTCCCTTGGTACGTGTGTTATGTCCCTTGGTACGTGTGTTATGTCCCTTGGTGCGTGTGTTATGTCCTTTGCTCCGTGTGATCTTAACGTCGTGGTCTGCGGTTTGTGGTCTGCGGTTTGTGGTCTGCGGTTTGTGGTCTGCGGTTTGTGGTCTTCGGTTTGTGGTCTGCGGTTTGTGGTCTTCGGTTTGTGTTCTGCGGCTCGCTGCTAAGATATGCGACACATCTTCTGCGGTCTAAAAACATCAAACCCGAAAGTGTTTTTACTTCAAGTAAACGAAAGTCTAAAAATAGCCTGACCCTCCTTGTAACAGTGACATTAAAAACATTACGAGTTAAAGCACTGGATGACAGCGATCCTTGTGACGCCACTTCTAACGCTCCACACCTATTGGGGGGTAATTTACGACCACTTCTACGTCCACACCGCGCAGGTAAACGCCGTACAGGTGTGACTGGTCGTAATTTAAGGCCAATCAAAGCTGGCCCGCATCAACAGCACATCAAGGACTAGACGTATTTATACGTTTGTCCCAGGTCGACCCGCTGTAGGGCACAGTCGTGAAATCACATTTTTTGTTTTATTCTGCATGAAATCACATGTTTTATTCTGCATGAAATCACATGTTTTTGGTACATGAAATAACTTTTTTGGTGGTGCATGAAATAAGATGTTTTATGGTACACGAAATCACATGTTTTATGTTGCAAGAAATCACGTGTTTTATGGTGCATGAAATCACATGTTTTATGGTGCATTTTATGGTGCATTAAATCACATGTTTTATAGTGCATGAATTGCCTGGTGCTTAAAATCACACGTTTATGGTGCATGAAATCATATGTTTTATGGTGCATGAAATCATATGTTTTATGGTGCATGAAATCATATGTTTTATGGTGCATGAAATCATATGTTTTATGGTGCATGAAATCACATGTTTTATGGTGCATGAAATCATATGTTTTATGGTGCATGAAATCATATGTTTTATGGTGCATGAAATCACCGGCAAATGTGTGACATATCTGCACCTGTTGAGAACAAATGTCTTTGATCTGTGCCTTTCAGATCGATTTCTCTGCGACTTTTTGAACCGGGCAGGTGTGCTTTCTTTGTGATGGGGTGGGTGGAGTGGTGGGGCGGGGTGGGGTGGGGTGGGGTGGAGTGGTGGGGCGGGTGGGGTGGGTGGAGTCGTGGGGTGGGTGGGGTGGAGTGGCTGGTGGGGTGGGGAGGTTGTGTGGATTGTTGAGGTCGGCTAGACTAAGATATGTTCATTATATTTCAGCTACAAATGTTGATTGAACCACATATAAGCTTATAATTTAATTAATTTAAAGGTATTTCATCAAACAAAAGTTTACTGTGTATTCTGCTTTTCGTTAAATGACTGTCATTTAGCTAAAGAAAATGAAGGTTGTCAGTAGACAGCAGGACTTTCATTTAGTTAATGAAAAGGATGGTTGTTTCATCATAAGAAAACGTCTACATCTTTGAGTAAAAATTGTGAATTACTGTTTGGAGTCATGTTGTATCAATGCAGATGCATGAGCAAAAATAAAATGGAAAATTGGCTTTTGGTTTTTTTTTACAAAAACCTATTGGTAGACATAGTTTACACTATTTTGAAGACAAATCAAAGATCTTGAGATTACATAGGTCTTACATCTTGAAACATTTTTTTGACACACATTGACACATACGTTGACACACCTTGCTAGCCTACACATTACAACACACATTAGCAAAGACCTCTACAGGCACTGACACAGGCACACACAGGCACACACACAGAGGCAATACACAGAGGCAGACTGACTGACTTAAACCTTAATACACGGCCTTAACTATTACTTCCTCATACAGTCTGTGATAGGGAAGTTCACAGCGAACACAACACCGTCTTCACTATGCCTGCATTCTGTGTCCGTATGGTGTTCAAATAACACTTTATAGTTCTATAGTACACCACACACCAGCTCTATATGCTAACATCAGACAAAAAATCACACATGACTACTGTACACCACAGACTAACTTTAAACTCTGGCAACATCAGATAAAACACCACACACTAACTCTAAAATCTGGCCACTTCGAACAAAACACCACACACCAAGCACCATATACCACACAACACACACCAGAATTAACGGCTGACCTGCATGCAAAATGTAGATTGTAAAAACATAATCCCCCCCCCCATCATTTCTTTGTTACAAACAGTCCATGTAAAATGAGCAGACGTCTTTGTAACGTTCACGTGCATTTAGTGGCAGCCGTCTAGGTCAGCACGTGCTTAATGTGGTGACCTCATCGGCCTCTTACAAACCCACTCATGCGTAACCAGTGATATTTCGCGTACGGCGACACCTTACTACACCCACCTTTCCACCCACACATACACACATACACGCATGCTTTCCCTTTTAAAAAAATACTTGAAAGACGACCACGGCTTAAACGCAAACAAAAAAATTAAATTCGAAACAATTTAATCGACCATGTATAATCTAGAATTGGAATCCAGCAGTCGAAAAATCTCAGCAAAGAGTAATTAACCGAGCCAAACTGTGACTAGAGTTCCCTCCCTTCTACGTCCACACCTCTTTACCTCCCCTGCCCCTAGACCTGGTATAGCCATAAGATGACGGGCTATGATAAGGGCGGTAACTGAGACTCAAGCCATAGGTGCAGGATTACATTACACCCTACTATTACTTTCTGGCGTATATTTGACCATACGACACAAGCTAAGGTGACTTAGGAATAAAAGACTTTTTTTTTCTCACACGCACCGCGCCCGTAATGACTCATGTACCCAACACAAGCAAATACTAGCATTTTTACCGGGAGTTTTTAACGGGTCACGGGTATTTTTATTGAAAGAATTTCATGGGAATAAATTTATTTTCATACATCATTTTGTTATTCCTAAGAAACGGAACAGAGTTTTTTTTTTAGAAAGGTAAAAAAATATCCAACGACCTTGACCTGTGTAAACACAAATCATCCCACCTGAGTAAAGCTCACCTGGATATCATTGGTGTACCTGGGGAAGGTACAGTTAAACTTTACCTCGCTTCTCATTTATATCACTAACAGCGTGGGGGGGGGGGGGGGAATAGGTTAGCAGAGGCGGGGTTACACCATTTAGGGGGTGACCCCAAATCGAAAAATCTAAAAATGTACAATGTTTTATCCGGGTGAAATAAATTAATAATGGATGGAGGGTAATAGCAAGCCGTAGGTGCGAAATCGTTCTCAGTTACACCGTGTGACATTCTCAGTTACCACACCATGTGACACCCTTAGTTACCACACCATATAACACCCTCAGTCATCACACCATGTGACACCCTCAGCTACCACACCATATGACACCCTCAGTTAACATAACACACCATGTGACACCCTCAGTCACCACACCATGTGACACCCTCAGTCACCACACCATGTGACACCCTCAGTTAACACACCATGTGACACCCTCAGTTAACACACCATGTGACACCCTCAGTCACCACACCATGTGACACCCTCAGTCACCACACCATGTGACACCCTCAGTCACCACACCATGTGACACCCTCAGTCACCACACCATGTGACACCCTCAGTCACCACACGATGTGACACCCTCAGTCACCACACCACGTGACACCCTCAGTTACCACACCACGTGACACCCTCAGTCACCACACCAAGTGACACCCTCAGTTACCACACCATGTGACACCCTCAGTCACCACACCGTGTAACACCTTACCACACCATGTGACACCATCAGTCACCACAACGGGTGACACCCTCAGTCACCACACCATGTGACATCCTCAGTCACCACACCATGTAACACCCAACCTAGTGACGCCACTGTTATGTAAAGTCTAACAAGTTGCCAATGCAGAAAAAAAAGAATGTTACCTACATTTAACTTCGTCGAAAATTGTTTTTCTTTAACTATATAACTCCCAAGATAAATGTAAGCACATCTCATTCACGTAACTAGCTTTCTTATACATCTTTTTATTATAAACAAAACATTTGAGCTTGCTGTTCATGGTACTTCAAGTTCAAGGTTTCTCCAATTTGGAACTGTATTCATGGGTTCATAGTTTACAGTTTACATGAATGTAGTGCAATGTATCTCATTGTGGAGATCACAGGGTGCTGTATGAGCACACAAACACACAAACATGTACATAACCACACAAACACACAAACACACAAGCAAGCATACAAACACAAAAACACACACACAAGTACACACACACACACACTGTACTCACCTGCGTTCAACCCAAAGTACTCATGCGAGCAGACGACTTGCAGGAAAACTGTCAGCACCAGGGCCAGGCCTGTGACGTCAGCGTACTGTACGACACCAGGGATCAAGGTCAACTGCATGGTCCGACAGCCCCTCCCTCCCCCCACGGTCTACCCCTCACCGAATCGCCCGAACATTTCCGCCAAGGAATTAAAATCCGTGTCCTGATCTGGCATTCTCACAGCCGTTGACGTCATCCAACAAGAACAGTGACGTAATGCACAGTGTATTTCATAGCGGGATCTAATCCCAGTCATGCTGGTACTAGGGAGGGGAGGGGAGATGTCGCACGTTTCATTCTTTGGTAATCCAATAGAAATATGTCGAGTCAAATTACACAAGGCATGCTTCGTCAAATATGTTCCTCAGCGAAAAGATCACAGCCTTGACAAGTTGAATATTTACACACAAAATGATGACGTCAATCTGAGTTGTAATCACCACACCACTGAACACAGTGACTAATGTAAACAACAGAAATAAAATTCTACGTGTCCTTGGACTAGCACATCCTTGTGTGGTCCCTAGCCATAAAAACAAAACAAACAAAAAACTAAAAGAACATTTAATATAGGTTACAAGCACATTAAGCTTTACAATATATGCCTACCTCTTATTGAATGTATTGTTAAGAAAGGATTTTAATTCTCTGTATACTATATCGGTCTATAAACACACACACACGTACATATATGTGTGTGTGTGTGTGTAAACGGTGTACGCTCGTAAAGTTAACAACGCATGTAAATCAGAAAACTTCACTTTAAAAAAAAAACTTCGGCGAACAAAAAAAAAAAATCCAGGTATTCCTTAAGCTAGAGGGGTTATAACAATACTAGAAAACGGGATCCGGATAAAACGAATTCTATTTCCGGTTGTAGATTTCTAGATAAACAATAACACGGTGGAGGAATGCTTGAGTCTGTTAATCTTATCAATACAAGTGGGTCACGGGTGGGGGTGGGGGCGTGAAATTTAGTTTACCAAACTCGGAATGGAATTCCACGGTACTCAGATCGTGGAGAGAGAGGGGGGGGGGGGGAGATTTGGGGGGAGAAGATCAACGAACTCTTCGACAATTGAAGTTTTGAAAGTTTGTGGTAGACGGGGGTAGAGTGGGTGACCCAGGGGTAGAGTGGGAGACCCAGGGGTAGAGTGGCTGACCCAGGGGTTGAATGGGTGACCCAAGAGTAGAATGGGTGACCTAGGGGTAGGGTGGGTGACCTAGGGGTAGGGTGGGTGACCCAGGGGTAGAGTGGGTGACCCCGGAGTAGAGTGGGTGACACAGGGGTAGAGTGGGTGACACAGGGGTAGAGTGGGTGACCCAGGGGTAGAGTGGGTGACCCAGGGGTAGAGTGGGTGACCCAGGGGTAGAGTGGGTGACCCAGGGGTAGAGTGGGTGACACAGGGGTAGAATGGGTGACCCCGGAGTAGAGTGGGTGACACAGGGGTAGAGTGGGTGACCCAGGGGTAGAGTGGGTGACCCAGGGGTAGAGAGGGTGACCCAGGGGTAGAGTGGGTGACCCAGGGGTAGAGTGGGTGACCCAGGGGTAGAGTGGGTGACCCAGGGGTAGGGTAAGTGACCAGTGGTAGAGTGGGTGACCCAGGGGTAGAGTGGGTGACCCAGGGGTAGAGTGGGTGACCCAGGGGTAGAGTGGGTGACACAGGGGTAGAGTGGGTGACCCAGGGGTAGAGTGGGTGACCCAGGGGTAGAGTGGGTGACCTAGGGGTAGAGTGGGTGACCCAGGGGTAGAGTGGGTGACCTAGGGGTAGAGTGGGTGACACAGGGGTAGAGTGGGTGATCCAGGGGTAGAGTGGGTGACACAGGGGTAGAGAGGGTGACCCCGTAGTAGAGTGGGTGACACAGGTGGTAGAGTGGGTGACCCAGGGGTAGAGTGGGTGACCCAGGGGTAGAGAGGGTGACCCAGGGGTAGAGAGGGTGACCCAAGGGTAGAGAGGGTGACACAGGGGTAGAGTGGGTGACCCAGGGGTAGAGTGGGTGACCCAGGGGTAGAGTGGGTGACACAGGGGTAGTAGAGTGGGTGACCCAGGGGTAGAGAGGGTGACCCAGGGGTAGAGTGGGTGACCCAGGGGTAGAGTGGGTGACCCAGGGGTAGAGTGGGTGACACAGGGGTAGAGTGGGTGACCCCGGAGTAGAGTGGGTGACACAGGGGTAGAGAGGGTGACCCAGGGGTAGAGTGGGTGACCCAGGGGTAGAGTGGGTGACACAGGGGTAGTAGAGTGGGTGACCCAGGGGTAGAGTGGGTGACCCCGGAGTAGAGTGGGTGACACAGGGGTAGAGTGGGTGACCTAGGGGTAGAGAGGGTGACCCAGGGGTAGAGAGGGTGACCCAGGGGTAGAGTGGGTGACCCAGGGGTAGAGTGGGTGACCCAGGGGTAGGGTGGGTGACACAGGGGTAGTAGAGTGGGTGACCCAGGGGTAGAGTGGGTGACCCAGGGGTAGAGTGGGTGACCCAGGGGTAGAGTGGGTGACACAGGGGTAGTAGAGTGGGTGACCCAGGGGTAGAGAGGGTGACCCAGGGGTAGAGAGGGTGACCCAGGGGTAGAGTGGGTGACCCAGGGGTAGAGTGGGTGACACAGAGGTAGAGTGGGTGACCTAGGGGTAGAGTGGGAGACCTAGGGGTAGAGTGGGTGACCCAGGGGTAGAGTGGGTGACCCAGGGGTAGAGAGGGTGACCCAGGGGTAGAGTGGGTGACCCAGGGGTAGAGTGGGTGACACAGAGGTAGAGTGGGTGACCTAGGGGTAGAGTGGGAGACCTAGGGGTAGAGTGGGTGACCCAGGGGTAGAGTGGGTGACCCAAGGGTAGAGTGGGTGACACAGGGGTAGTATGGGTGACCCAAGAGTAGAATGGGTGACCCAGGGGTAGAGTGGGTGACCCAGGGGTAGGGTGGGTGACCCAGGGGTAGAGTGGGTGACACAGGGGTAGTAGAGTGGGTGACCCAGGGGTAGAGTGGGTGACCTAGGGGTAGAGTGGGTTACCCAGGGGTAGAGTGGGTGACCCAGGGGTAGAGTGGGTGACACAGGGGTAGTAGAGTGGGTGACCCAGGGGTAGAGTGGGTGACCCAGGGGTAGGGTGGGTTAGGGTGTAGGGATCTTTTTAGAGAAGGTTTTTATAGATTCAGATCTGTAGTATTAGGGCAGATGAAGTAGAGTTCATCAGGTTTGTTAACTTTCTAGACGTTAGAGAGTCCTTGTGGTCAGTGCCTGTCCAGCCGCTTATTAATTATGGCTTACGTCAGGCAACCACAAGAGCCGGGTGGTCATAATGTAATCAAATCACCTGCTAATTAAGTCGACAATTAAACTACAGACTATCTGAGAATTTCGGGAAACGAGCATGTTGACTGGTGAGAGATTGATTACACTTACATGTCGGCCTATGAATAGAAGTCACCCAAGCATAGCGAGATCTACCATCATGTTGTATACACGGGATCTACCATCATGTTGTATACCGACCAGACACTGACTGATACCATCCAATCTAACATCATCTAAGATGGGTAGACCGAGACATCAACCTGAGACAAACATCGGCTACATGTCTTCCCTCTCTCATCTTTCTAGACATCAAATTAACCGCCGGTCACCTCCATGTTATTTCAGCCAAATGAAAGCTCAGCGTACATTTCATGCTCGGTTACGCTTGAGTGAACTCAAGATTCACCTGATTTGTATTTAATACACTTACCACTACGTTAACCTTCACCCCCCCCCCTTTAGTTTTGTCTTTCTCATTTTCTTAGCATATATATATATATATATATATATATATATATATATATATATATATATATATATATATATATATATATATATATATATATATATATATATATATATATATATATATATATATATATATATATATATATATATATATATATATATATATATATATATATATACATACATATGTATATATTAACGACATCACTTGGTAGAGTAAGATACTAGGCAGTGGAGTCAGTGTCACACAGATAAAGTTGATGCAAGTGGCGTCAGTAACGTTGTTAGAGATGATGTATGTCTTGCTTAGTTCTACGATCATCTTATACAGACGGCAAAAACAGTCGTATATTGACAAAATATTTGAGAGTCATAGGTCCAATGTCGTCATATGTCCATTAATGGAATAAATCCAGTAATATCATATGGCCAGTCATTTCATGTCCAGTAATGTCATATGTCTAGTAATGTCATATTTCAATAATGTTATATCCAGAAATGTAAATATGACCAGTAATGTCAAATGCCCAATAAAGTCATGTATCAAATAAATTTAAACCAAATGCTATTTCATGGAAATAAACGACATCTTGATCTATTCTTTACCCCAGTCGTTTATATTTATGTATGTAAATGTGTTTTTGTTTATATTGCAGTAAACGCTACATGTGCTAGCTACAAAATGTATTTTAAGAAGGTAGTTTGGAGTGTTGAGGTAGAATCAGTTGTCTTTATTTTGATGTATTTGAATATATTTACCTCGGGTTTCGTCATTTTGGATTTTGATGAATTAATTGAAGGATGAACCTCACTGTTGGACCCCCCCCCCTCCCTCCTGTCCACCCCCTCCCCCTACAAAACAGAGTAGCATGAAAACACCCAGTGTAAAAAAAAAATACACCAATTCCACATCGTCAACAAATGCCCGTGTGAGCATTAGACTTTATAAGCACATGACGTAAATAATTAGAATAATTATCACGTGATTAAAATTCTGCTCACACAAAGTTTGTGCCCGATCTCCCCAACCCCCTACCCCGACCTGCTCCGTTTACTGGACGAAAAGAACCTAAAGATAAATCACGTGATCAAGAGTATCACGTGATGCAAGAAAAAAAACAATGATCGACTTATTTAACAACAATGGAGCAACAATGACTCAGTCATTCATTAACAGACCGTCGTGACGAATCATTCACCGCATCACGTGATGGTCACGTGAGAGTTGAAAGTAAACAACTTATCAATCATCCGTTTGTTTTTTGTGATACGTGAAACACGGGTGTTTGAGAGTCCTGGTCTAAATATAGAACTAAACATGTGCTGTTTCAAGTACACAACTTTTGAATAATCTCTAGTCGATATATATATATATATATATATATATATATATATATATATATATATATATATATATATATATATATATATATATATAACAACTGAGTTCACGTGTATGTGTGTGGATTTTTTAAAATAAATTCTATATTGCTAGCTAGTCCCCAGTTGAAACATATGCTCGTGTGCTACTGCTAATGAAAATCTCAGTGCCACCTAGATCTAAAATCCTGTCAGATTTGGAACCATCAGACCGTGAAGTTGAAAGTTTAGCTCTAGCCCCACCACGACAGGTGCCGGTCTGTTTTAGTTACAGGTGTGAGACATCGACAGGGACAGGAAATTATCTTTCTCATTGGGATCCGAACCCACAGTCCTCTCTTTCAGTGAGCTAATCTGCCGCCCCACCCCTCCCCAAAATGGGAAACCACATTTCTAAATGCTCATGTATAATAAGACGAAAGTAAGAAACGTTACATTTAAACAAAGTTAATCTCGATTTCCTTTACATAAACATCAAATAGATCGTAGATCAATATATAACCGCTATCACTACTACAATATTGAACTGTCTATCAATAATCGGAATCGTTAAATCTAATGGCTTGAATACTATTTACTAAGTAACGCTTGAATGATTTTAGACATGTGACAGTCATTTGACGAGCTGTATTGTGCATTATTCACTAAATGACAACTGTCATTACAGAACTTCAAATGACATGTCAGTCACCTACCATCACATGACACATGTCATTCATCAACTGACAAGCTTCACACGTCTGCTATCAAAATCCAAACTTTGAAATTGTTATCCATTAGAAAACGAAACAAACTTCCAACACAGAAATCACATGGGAAATCCAACTTATTTTAAAAACAAACGAAACTTTTAACGTTATTTTAAATAATCTTAACCTTCAGTGAATTATATTTAAAAAAACGACTCATAATCTGATTATAATCCGATTATAATCCGCTAAATGAATGAAAACAGGGTGTACAAAAGTCAGCACCCCTTGATTGTCACTGACAGAGAAGCGGTGACGGAGGAAAATAAATAGAAAAATTCCTCGAGTTTGGTGAAGCAAGCGATCTCACCCCCGTCTCAATTTTTTTATAGGGCCGCGCGCTGGCTGTGACACTACCGCGTCAGCGCCTCGTATCACCGCGCGCCATGCCCCCCCCCCCCCCCCCCCCCACCCCGTGCGCCCCACGGGATTAGGGAACAGAGTAGGTATAAAACTCAGGAGAAATTTAACGGGGGGAGGGGCCGCACTCTACAGCACGGCGACCTAGGGTGTATTACACCTGGTCCTAAAAATTCACAAGATAGAGGTTAGTACGGTACAGAGGAAAGTAATTGGAGCTGTTTTTTATGATACAATTTAAAAATGATATAATCATTTTATAGTGCTGGGTCTTCGTTAGTTTTGTAAGTTGAGATCGGTGTAAAAGTTAACGTTATGTATAAACTAGAGCTTTATAATGTAAACAATGTAAAAGTATTATAAGAATGTTGTTATATTCCCTAAAGTATATGAAGTCTATCTTTTCTACACTTCATTAGAACAAATCGAAGAATTTATATATATATATATATATATATATATATATATATATATATATATATATATATATATATAGCCTATATATATATACATATATATATATATATATTTATATGTATATATGTGTGTGTATATATGACATCCCTCCACTGAATGCTCTCACATGATCTGGACATCTTTACTAATACTAGATAAATGAAGTTGCAACCTGAGGCTTTAAGCAGCTCCCCCCTCTCCCCCCCCCCCCCGGTTTTAATACTTATTGGAGGTTTTGATGTTAAGATGGCCCGGCTGTTCTGTACTTTTATGGCCACGTTTGTTTTATGGCCGTCACCCGGCTCGCCTTATGTCACACTGACGACAGGCAAGAGGCAGGATAAAATAATTAATCAGCTTAATTAATTTCACTAATTAGCAGCAGGTGAATCTACAGTTAAACGCGTTAAACGCCGTGGGTGCTACAGCGGTCATTCAGTTTCTGATGTCGGTTTTACTCGGGAAACTTCATTCATAAAGTGTACCTGAGCACCCCTGTAGGTGGACGAGTCCACTTGTAAACAGCCAAGTGTCGTGTTTGTTGACAGCCTATGGCGCGTCCAAGTACAGCACTTAAAGGGTACTTGTCTTGGCCGTGTTGAAATCAAACAACACCTCACGCAGCGAGGGCAGGGCTTTGTGGCCGGATGTAAATGGGGTTGGGGGGGGGGGCTTTTTAGATCAGCACCAAGCAATATACGCCGTCGGACAATTATATATATATATATATATATATATATATATATATATATATATATATATATATATATATATATATATATATATATATATATATATATATATATATATTTATATATATATATATATATATGCTTTCTAATTGTCGTTTTATTTTAAAGCCACACGAACTTGATTGTTGTTTCATTTTGGGGACCCATGAGATATTTCTTCTTCTTCTACTTTCTTAAAAGTGAATGATTGGAGAAGATTTCATCCAATAGAATCAAGGCTTAAAGTGTCTGCAGGTTATGCACCAAAGTTTACTAGGATTCCAGCTAACTTTTCTTTTGGATTTGTTTCCATATCCTTTATCCCTCCAAGAACAAACTTCAAAGCAGCAAACGTTTTTGCAGTTTTCTATGCTAGATGGGTTGCTGTCCCCAGCCATCGAACCTCATCTTCATGTGGGTTTTCGAACTCGGGCCATTTGGGGTAGTGTTAGAAACCAGAAGTTCGCCTTGCTGACCACGGCATCTACGGGGAGTTCTACCATATATATATATATATATATATATATATATATATATATATATATATATATATATATATATATATATATATATATATATATATATATATATATATATATATGTGTGTATATATATATATATATATATATATATATATATATATATATATATATATAGATATATATATATATATATATATATATATATATATAATATGCATGCGTGTGTATGTAAATAAGAGTCACATAGAAATTTCATGAACTAATTGAATTCCATGAATATATATATATATATATTTTTTTGCCTCAGACACGTAATTTACAGCGCCAGTTGTGTGTTCGCTTTAGTATTACAGTTTTCATCATCGGCTTGTGAGGACTGATACAGATTTACAATAGTAATATTTCTTTCTTACTTGTAGCCTACTTTCATTCATTTAAGATAGTTTACTTATACATAGATCTAATACAAAACGAATAGAGTTCAATATGTAAACGATGAGACATAAACTATGTTGTTTGACAACGCCGCGTGCTTTCGGTCGGTCAATGATTCAGTTGTTGAGATAAAACAGAAACTTCTTGTTTAAGGTTTCAATCAGGTCAGCCTGTCCTTTAGCTTACACGACGATCTGACGGTTGTTTTTGAGCGCTAAAGATAATCATGTCACCATGACCTGACATCACGTCATGTGTCGTCTGTTGTTGATGTTCCGTTTTTACCTTCTTGGCGCTGTTTCTTCAGGCTGTCAAACCATTTTTGCCGTGATTCTCTCCCCTATAAATTACAAAGACAATGCCCTTTAAAATAAACCCGCCTGATCTTTATGTAGTTAATCGTAATTGTGGTTGTCACGTGGTTTAAATCAAGTTTTCAAAAGTTACTTAAAATATCCTCACTTATTCCGGAATCTGCCTAATTTGAGAATTTATGTAATTTTCAATTATTAACATTTTGAATATATCTCCTTTGCCAATGTTGATTCGCATACTAATATTAGTTATATGGTTGTTGTTTGTTTTTTTACTGTTTTTTTCAAATGTGTTATTATGTCCTGTTAATTTATTACATATGTTTTTTTAAAGTCCCTACTAGTTGTGTACTGTTTACCCTGTACCACATATAACATACTGATTCGGGTTGTTAAAGTTCACATCAACATATTCATCGTGCTCAGGTAACACACCCATACAGTTTCAGCCACTCCGTAAAGGGACGTAACCATGAATTAAGTTTATCTGTTAAGTATTTAGTACAAATAGCTTCCCATTGCACTTGAAGTTATATATACACAAAGAGATTAAAATAGAAGTATTCTTGTAAGCAAACTTTTGACCCAATCACATGCATTTTCACAAGGATTTTTACAAGGATTTGTTATAACTGTATAATCTTAACGTTTTGAGATAATCAAAAGTATTTTATCAAATACACATGTTAGTAATTAACGATCAAATAACAAAACATAAAACGTAAACTGTTAAATACATAAACATATCCATCAAACAATTCAAAGGTATTATATTACCCTGATATAAAAAAATTAAAAACGCAATGTAAACATGAGAATTTAAAAATGTGGAATAAAAATAATACTCATACAATGTACATAAAATAGATGAAATGCAATTAGCGGGAATAACATCTCTAGAAAACACCTACTTTAAGATCTTCAGAATACACCGACCTTCACATCTTTAGACAACATAAACTTCACGATCTTCAGACACAACCAACTTCAGCATCTTCAGACACAACCAACTTCAGCAACTTCAGACACAACCAACTTCAGAATCTTCAGACATCACCAACTTCAACATCTTCAGACACAACCAACTTCAACATCTTCAGACATCACCAACTTCAGCATCTTCAGACATCACCAACTTCAGCATCTTCAGACACAACCAACTTCAACATCTTCAGACACAACCAACTTCAGCATCTTCAGACACAACCAACTTCAGCATCTTCAGTCATCACCAACGTCAGCATCTTCAGACACAACCAACTTCAGCATCTTCAGACACAACCAACTTCAGCATCTTCAGACACAACCAACTTCAGCATCTTCAGACACAACCAACTTCAGCATGTTCAGACACAACCAGCTTCAGCATCTTCAGACACAACCAACTTCAGCATCTTCAGACATCACCAACTTCAACATCTTCAGACATCACCAACTTCAGCATCTTCAGACACAACCAACTTCAGCATCTTCAGACACAACCAACTTCAACATCTTCAGACATCACCAACTTCAGCATCTTCAGACATCAACAACTTCAACATCTTCAGACACAACCAACTTCAGCATCTTCAGACATCACCAACTTCAGCATCTTCAGACATCACCAACTTCAGCATCTTCAGACATCACCAACTTCAGCATCTTCAGACATCACCAACTTCAGCATCTTCAGACATCACCAACTTCAGAATCTTCAGACATCACCAACTTCAGCATCTTCAGACATCACAAACTTCAGCATCTTCAGACATCACCAACTTCAGAATCTTCAGACATCACCAACTTCAGCATCTTCAGACATCACCAACTTCAGCATCTTCAGACACAACCAACTTCAGCATCTTCAGACAACATCACGATACATTGTCCAGCAGTGCTGGTGATGCCACATCGATTTCAACTTTCATCAGATTATCCTTATGGGCACATTTTGGTTTCCTGGATATTGAGAATAGAGTGATTTGTTTTTACTCTAATACACTAAGATGATTTACTCGACATGCCATATAAAAATAAGTAAAACCTAAAATTTGAAAACTAATGTTATAATATCAGTTTGTATAGTGCAGTGGTTCCCAAACTTTTTCGAGTGGCGACCCCCTTTTATAAAAAAAATAGGTGACCCGCGACCCCCATAGAATTAAAAAGCCTAAGTCAGTATAGAAATTAACAAGCACTAAAATAAGATTTTCTAGTAGACTTTAAATATGAACTACCCTTGATATCTGATTAAATACCATGAGTAAAATTGCATGCTATTTACTAAACATTTGCGGTTAAGTTATTGTTTACGCCAACCTATGTCATCATCAACATTCAATTTATTTCTTAATTTTGTTTTTAATCGGAGAATAGTGTTGAAAATATATTCTCGAAAAGCCAATTAATTTTACGTTTGGGTATGAATGGTGAATACTACACCAAAATTATGTCTGCCGTTTTTCATCTTACACGAAATCATTCTGCAAATCAAAGAATTCATCTTGTAATTCATCGGGAATGCTGGCAACATCAAGGGAAGAAGAGAATGGGTAATGCGTCAATGCAGATTCTTCTTTTTTCAGCTCAGAGAAATAGCGCTGCTGTTCGTTTACAAGAGATTCAAGATGCCTAGAAATTGCTTCTTTCAAAAATTTAATTATCTCACAATCAGATTCATCTACCACACTGCAGAGTTTCTCAAATTTAAAATATTTTCTAGATTTATTTTCTTCACCAATTTTGCAGCTTTGATTAAAATGCCCCGAGATTTATCATGGAAAGTGATAATATTCTTTCATTTTGCCTGAAGCTTCAGGTAGCTTATGTTGATGTTCGAACACATCTGCTAGGTATGATACACTCTCCAGCTACTCTATGTCGTTTTAAGTATACCAAAAGGTCTTGATTCGTTTGCACTTCCAAGAACAATTTGATTTCAGATTTCAATTAAAAAACACGATTCACAACATTTTGTTTGACAACCAGCGTACTGTAGTGTAGAAGAGCAGAACCTCATGATCTATATTAATGCTTTTGCTGAGTTCTTTGAATTTGAAGGCTCCAGATTTTATATAATTTATGACTTTTTCTAGCAATGGAGTCTTGATAGCGAGGGCAGTGGTTAGGGAGCTAAATCTTTTCCGTTTTTTGAAAGCCCGATTTTGAGCTAATCATAGATGGCGCACCATACGTACAAACCCCCACAGCCGTTTTAACCCATTTAAATCATCCAGTTTCATAAAACGCATTTATTTTCTCCATGCTATCTTCACAAAAGAGCAACTCTTCTTTGCCAACATATGAATGAATATATGACTAGCAGCAGCGAACACGAACTCACGTCTGTTGATTTATCAGCTTGAAAAGCAAACAATGGTGAAAGCTTAATTTCATTAAAACATTTTTATTTAAAATCTACGGACATGTCTGCTAAAAGCCGCTGAATAGTATTATTAGGCAGATATATTTGTTGCATCTTTACTGCACTGGAATCCCCAAGAATTAACTTCACCATCTTCAACATGCAGCGTTTGATGCGATGTTCTCCTATTGTGTGTTTTTTTTTTTTGCTTGGATTTTCCTGTCGCGACTTAATATGATGCTTGCACTAATGCTGTGTTTCCTTCGTGAAAACTTCCAGTTCGATCAAGTCTCTGACGTTTGCAACTAGCTTCATACCGACGAAAGAACTCCATATCTTTTTTGGTGTGTTTCGAATGACTCGTCTCAAATGACGTTTTAGTTTTGAAGATTTCATAAACTCGTGACTGAAAACAACTTTGTACAGTACGCATTGCTTCTTCCCTATTCCATTTCCAGTGATGTTAGTAAAGCCGAATTTCAGATATTCTTCTAAATATTTATGTTTTGTTTCTCATTACTAAGGTTTAGTATACCAGTTGGCGGCCCCCCAGAAAGGCCTTCGGGGGTTGCGACCCCCAGGTAGGGAACCGGTGGTATAGTGTGTCTTGCCGGTAGGTACGGTGTGTTGTCTGTCGTGGTCTCTGAAAGGGTTTCCCCCTCCACACCCCCATCCATATCCCTCCATACCACCTCACCCCGTCATTGATGCTGCTTCTTCTTCTTCTTCGTTCTTAATTTTAATGTTGTAAGGGAACCCCCTCCAACACAATTGTAAACGTGTCAACTTCTTATGCGCCATTGAGGCCATTGACTCCGATTTCAGCCTGCAATTTCTTTTTGGATTTGCTTCCATAGCCTTTGTCCAACCAAGAACAAACTACAAGGCAGCAGTTGTTTGATTTTGGAGTTGTCTCTCATAGAAGAGTGGCTGTCCCCAGCTAACGAGCCTCATCTGCCCGATGGTTCAAACTCGAGACTTTTTGGTTTAGCAACCTTGAGCTTTACCGACTCGACCACGCCGAACCCTATTGATGCTCCAAGATGGCATCAATTACGGTAAATTAATCCGATTTCTTAAATGAACACAACACCCACACGGCAGAGGCATGATCTCCTGTATGTCGGCCTGTAGATATTGAAACGAGAGTTCCTTCCATAGCGGAGAAGATTGTCAAATCATTTCGTTACATAACCACACCAATGGGCATTTTATTACTTGGTCTTTTCTACCATATCATTGATACTGTGACCTGGCCATTGTCTTACCTGATCAGTTCCATCATATCACCCATACTACACATGGCCATTGTCTTACCTGATCAGTTCCATCATGTCTCCGATAGTTTCCGGCAGTTTCTGGTTCATGGTCTCAGGTAAAACAAAGAACATGAACGAGGCAGCGAGAGCCAGACAACCACAGACCAACAAGGGGACGCTACTCCCCAGAACTCCCACAGTTCTGGCCCCCTGAGAATAAAATAAACAAAATTATCGTTGACATCCAGCCTTGATTGAAATTGTTCAATACACGAGCGCGACGAAGTTTTGACTGCAATAAATCATTAAAGACGACAATGAAAGTGAGTGTGTCTTCAGAACAAACGCCAAGTCTACTTCAGCTGCTCTAAATGTCATGTAACTTCATCTCAGGATGTCTTCCCGTACGTGCACGCGACACATGAGGCAGGTGAAGTAGATTTCAACTGTTCTAAATACCTCACCATACATTTGGATACTAAGGCCAGCTCTATGCCTAGCCGTATGAATATCCTTAGCGAGAGTTGTCAAGTTCCCATCAGAGCTGGTTCCTACAGACTGAGATCCGAACTCGAGATTTTCGGGTAACCAGTCGTTCTCACTACCGTCCGACCATGCCGTCCCATGAGCCACTACACAGGTGAGTTAGTTACCTGAGCCGCCATGTAAGGAGCCACCGTCCCATGAGCCACTACACAGGTGAGTTAGTTACCTGAGCCGCCTTGTAAGGAGTCCCATGAGCCACTACACAGGTGAGTTAATTACCTGAGCCGCCATGTAAGGAGCCGCCGTCCCATGAGCCACTACACAGGTGAGTTAGTTACCTGAGCCGCCATGTAAGGAGCCAGCATGGAGCCAACCCTGGCCCAGCATGAACAGACTCCAATGGCGGAGTTCCTAAGCGAGGTGGGGAAGACTTCAATAGAGTACATGTACACAGTCCCCATAACCCCAGCCGCCCCAAGCTTGCCAATCATGGCGAACATAACCGTGATCCACTGAAGGTCTGAAACATTCCAACACAGTTTTTTTTGGTTTTTTTTTCTTCAATTTTTCTTTAAAAGTTGTACGTTGAAATACGTTTTCTAAATTATTCTGGGTGTATCATGTTAGAGATTTTATAAAATCAGTTTTAATAGAACTTTTTGAACTAAAGGGGTTGTCCATTAACGACATCACACTATAGTGACAATGGAGGGGGGGGGGGGTGAGGGCTGAAAACTTGTGACGTGTTGTGATCAGGGAAGAGGTAGAGAGTTCAGAAAGGGTGACGATAAACTGTTGTATTTTAAAAAGTTATTTTAGAAATATATTTTTAATCGCTGCTCCGCGTTTTAAAAAGATTTTTTTTCTGCAGTGTATAATATACATTGATTTATATTCTAAAAGTTGACCAAGATTAGTAAACAATTTAGATAAAATAGATATTAAAAAAATAACTTCAAGTGTGATTGAAGGGAGGGAGTGGGAAGGTTGTAGTCTGAGGTGTGACGCCATTTGTGGTGGGGAGTGAGTGTGGCGATGTGTGACAATGGGGAAAGGGAGGCTAATCTATCTATCTAGCTATCTATCTATCTATCTATCTATTATACTACTAAAAGTCAAGTTTGTTTACATGTTTGAATATTTATTTGTTTTTTTGTTTGTTTTTTTGTTTGTTTTTTTGTTTGCCTGATTGACTATCTCGCATGGTTGCACTCATCGTGGAGAGCTGTAAAATAGTATGTAGGTAGAGAAAATTTTTTGTTTTAAGACAGACTGTTAATCACACATTTATTTAAAGACGTTAATTAATTTATTGATTTATTCATACGCAGAGTAACCCATTTTTTTTAAAAAGTTTAGAACGACCACTACACTCGGCGGGACCGTGACGTCACAGTTTTTTGTTTACTCTTTAGTACAATAAAATGGCGGCGTCTATCGAAGAAAATTGTGTTCCCATTCAAAAGTTTAACGCGTTCTAAATCTAATTTTCTGTCGGTCATAACTTTAACAATACGTCCGTTTGCTGTATTTATTACGTTCCAACACTTATATCAATTTTCAACTGTCTTTTTCATTTAGTTTTACGATAAATTTCTCTAGATCTAAAATCTGTCCAAGAAAGTTATTTATAGATCTAGATCTAGAATCTAGGACAATCTAGACTAGGTCAAATCAAAGATTTATTAGTTATAAATACAATAAAAAAAAACCGAGAGATAAGCAAACCAGTCGTAGATCTAGAATATAGATAATTCTATCTAGATTTAGATAATAATGAGTTTCTATATACTAAACTATTTTAGACCTTTATTATTTTGTATAAATCTTTGTTTGGAATATGGTAATTTTGAAATGCTCGCTCCCGGGCCTATTGGTGTAGCTTAAGATTCATACGCGGCTTAGATGCCGGTAATTTTGCTAAATTATAAACGTAAATTCTAAATATAGCTCAGTCGTAGATCTAAAATATAGATAATTTTCTTTCTAGATTTAGATAATAATGATTTTCTATATACTAAACTATTTTAGACCTTTATTATTTTATATAAATCTTTGTTTGGAATATGGTAATTTTGAAATGCTCGCTCCGGGCCTAATGATTAGATCTAGATCTAGATTCTAGATCTAGCAAGAAAAACTAAACTTAAGACTTAAGCAAACGTCGTAGAATCTAATCTAGATAATTCTATCTAGATCTAGATAATTTCAGACCTTCTTTATTTTATATAAATCTTTGTTTGGCTAATTTAAGATAAAATTTAATTTGAAAGTAAACTACTACTAGACTTAGATCTAGATCTATGCGCGTAAATCATGTTGCAAAAGGAGACTTATACTATAGTATAAAAATTCACTTGTGACGTCACGAGTAAATAGCTAAGTTGGTAGCGTAGTCCGCTCTCATGCGGGTGGCACAGGTTCTAGACCAATATGTCAATGATATTTTTTTTTTCAATTTTTTTTTTCTAGATGTGAATGATAAAGTTGCCTATCTGAACTTGGCAGGATACAGGGCAGGTGAAGTAGAGTTCATCTGTTTCTTTGTCCTAAGCATATGAAAGGATAGTGTGGTCAGAGACATGCTCGGCTGGAATAGTTTTTTAAACGATAAAAACATGTTGTCTGAGACTTGGCGGGACACTGGGCAGGTGAAGTAGAGTTGAGTAGGTCACATGTGACGTCAGTATATGAAGGGATAGTCCGAAATAGGTGTTTTCGGTGTTTTTAAAAGATAAGAAGCATATTTTTGAATGTGGGGTCTGTTTTTTGTGACGATAAGTGACACTGCAGTAGCGTAGCGAGGAGGGGGGGGGGGGGTGGCGGGGGGGGGGGGGGAGTCGGGGGGAGGGGAAGGGGGGGGGGGCGGGGGGGACATATGTTGGGGCGCCAAAATGGTTTGGAAAAATAAATTGAAAGGTTGAGGGGGGTTCAAATCGAAAGTTTGAGTGGGGGGGGGGGGTTGCACATCAAAAGTTTGAGGGGGGGGGGGTTGAAAATCGAAATCTTGGGGGGGGGGGGGTTAAAATCGAAAAGTTTGTCCCCGGGCGCCGGGAAGGGTCGCTATGCCTCTGAGTGACAGACGTGATGTTTTTTGATGGATGACCCCCGAAACCCACAGTTATCCAACGGATGACGGGTAGTCTAGTATACTACTAAAAGTCAAGTTTGTTTACATGTTTCAATATTTATTTGTTTGTTTGTCCGATCGAGTATTGTGATATGTTCGACTCTATCTGGAGAGCTGTAAAATAGTATGTAGGTAGAGAATAATTTTTTAATGCAGACAGACTGTTAATCACAAATTTATTTAAAGACGTTAATTAATTAATTGATTTATTCATACGTAGAGTAACCCATTTTTTTTCAAAATGTTAAAACATTGACTAAAATTTTTGTGGGAATAGTGACGTCACAGGTTCTTGTTTACTATTTAGTACAATAAAATGGCGGCGTCTATCGAAGAAAATTGTGTTCCCATTCAAAAGTTTAACGCGTTCTAAATCTAATTTTCTGTCGGTTATAACTTAAACAATACGTCCGTTTGCTGTATTTATTACGTTCCAACACTTATATCAATTTTCAACTGTCTTTTTCATTTAGTTTTACGATAAATTTCTCTAGATCTAAAATCTGTCCAAGAAAGTTATTTATAGATCTAGATCTAGAATCTAGAATCTAGGACAATCTAGGTCAAATCAAAGATTTATTAGTTATAAATACAATAAAAAAAACGAGACTTAAGCAAACCAGTCGTAGATCTAGAATATAGATAATTCTATCTAGATTTAGATAATAATGAGTTTCTATATACTAAACTATTTTAGACCTTTATTATTTTGTATAAATCTTTGTTTGGAATATGGTAATTTTGAAATGCTCGCTCCCGGGCCTATTGGTGTAGCTTAAGATTCATACGCGGCTTAGATGCCGGTAATTTTGCTAAATTATAAACGTAAATTCTAAATATAGCTCAGTCGTAGATCTAAAATATAGATAATTTTCTTTCTAGATTTAGATAATAATGATTTTCTATATACTAAACTATTTTAGACCTTTATTATTTTATATAAATCTTTGTTTGGAATATGGTAATTTTGAAATGCTCGCTCCGGGCCTAATGATTAGATCTAGATCTAGATTCTAGATCTAGCAAGAAAAACTAAACTTAAGACTTAAGCAAACGAGTCGTAGAATCTAATCTAGATCTAGATAATTCTATCTAGATCTAGATAATTTCAGACCTTCTTTATTTTATATAAATCTTTGTTTGGCTAATTTAAGATAAAATTTAATTTGAAAGTTACTACTACTAGACTTAGATCTAGATCTGTGCGAGTAAATCAAGTTGCAAAAGGAGACTTAAAATATAGTATAAAAATTCACTTGTGACGTCACGAGTAAATAGCTAATATGTCAATGATATTTTTTTTTCAATTTTTTTTTTCTAGATGTGAATGATAAAGTTGCCTATCTGAACTTGGCAGGATACAGGGCAGGTGAAGTAGAGTTCATCTGTTTCTTTGTCCTAAGCATATGAAAGGATAGTGTGGTCAGACACATGCTCGGCTGGAATCGTTTTTTAAACGATAAAAACATGTTGTCTGAGACTTGGCGGGACACTGGGCAGGTGAAGTAGAGTTGAGTAGGTCACATGTGACGTCAGTATATGAAGGGATAGTCCGAAATCGGTGTTTTCGGTGTTTTTAAAAGATAAGAAACATATTTTTGAATGTGCGGTCTGTTTTTTGTGACGATAAGTGACACTGCAGTAGCGTAGCGAGGAGGGGGGGGGGGGGCGGGAGGGGAGGCGGGGGGGGGGGGGGAGGTGGAGGGGGAAGGGGGGGGGGCGGGGGGGGAGGGGAGAGGTGGAGGGGGGGCGGGTGGGGGACATATGTTGGGGCGCCAAAATGGTTTGGAAAAATAAATTGAAAGGTTGAGGGGGGTTCAAATCAAAAGTTTGAGTAGGGGGGGGGTGAACATCAAAAATTTGAGGGGGGGGGGGGGGTTGAAAATCGAAATCTTGGGGGGGGGGGTTAAAATCGAAAAGTTTGTCCCCGGGCGCCGGGAAGGGTCGCTATGCCTCTGAGTGACAGACGTGATGTTTTTTGATGGATGACCCCCGAAACCCACAGTTATCCAACGGATGACGGGTATTCTAGTATACTACTAAAACTCAAGTTTGTTTACATGTTTGAATATTTATTTGTTTGTTTGTCTGATTTGGTACTATAAGGAAACTGCTCTATATGGGGGCTGTAAAATAGTATGTAGGTAGAGAATAATTTTTTATTGCAGACAGACTGTTAATCACACATTTATTTAAAGACGTTAATTAATTTATTGATTTATTCATAGGTAGATTAACCACAATAATTTTAAAGTTTTAGAACAATGGCTAAACTTTGACTGAATAGTGACGTTTGATAACTCATTGTTTTTTTATTTTTATTTTTTATTTGTTATTAGGGAGAATCTGCATTATGTGTAGAGCTGTAAAATAGGTTTTGGGTGGTAAATATTGTTCTTTCTTAAACACACTGTTAATTACAAACTAATTTAAAGCCTTTAATTAATTTATTGATATATTCATAGGTAGATTAACCACATTAATTAGAAAAGTTTAGAACAATGACTTTAGTAATAGTAAAAAGGTATATTTTCTTTTTACAACAATGTTTTCAATTATTTTTTTCTTAAGGCCTACGTGTGAATGATAAGGTTGACCATCAGGACCTCGCGGGGCACAGGGCAGGTGAAGTAGAGTTCACCTGTTTCTATGTTCTCAGCATATGAAGGGATAGTGTGGTCAGAGCCATGCTCGGCCGGAATCGGTTTTTTTTAAAAATTCAAACATGTCTGAGACTTGGCGGGACACTGGGCAGGTTAAGTAGAGTTTAGTAGAGTTTTTAAAATATAAAAAACGTCTTTTTGAATGTGGGGTCTGGTTATTTTGGGATGATAAGGGCTGACAGACGTGATGCCATTTATGGATGACCCCCGAAACCCACAGTTATCTAACTAGATAACGGGTAGTCTAGTATCATTTAAAAAGCGTGACATCATTTATGGATGGCCCCAACAATTTCTGAGTTGTTTCCCTTACCAGAAAGTATTTCCGTAAATCTAAAAATAAATCCAAGTCTGACCTGCAGGGGCGAACACAATGGAGAGGACAGAACACAGGCAGGCAACTCCACAGACAAACATCAGGAGAAAGTGGCACATCTTGCGGCCTATCCTGTGGGACGTAAACTAAACATAAGGATAAAGTGGCACATCTTGCGGCCTATCCTGTGGGATAAACATAAACATAAGGAGAAAGTGGCACATCTTGCGGCCTATCCTGTGGGACATAAACATAACGATAAAATAGGATATCTTGCGGCATATCCTGTGGGAAGTAAACATAAACATAAGGATAAAATAGGATAATTTGCGGCCAATCTTGTCGGACGTAAACATTAGGATACAATAGGATATCTTGCGGCCTATCCTGTGGGATAAATATAAACATAAGAATAAAATAGGATATCTTTTGGCCTATACTATGTGAAGTAAACATTGACCTAGTTAGGAAACACGAAAGTGTGTCTAAAACTACAAAGATTCTAGACTAGAACAGTGTGTAGCTACACATTGATGCTCGACAACCATGAAAACACAAACCATTTAATTCCATCTTTATGTAATCAACTTCGGCTAATTACGGCCATAACGTCGTGAAAGTAGGTTATATTCATAGGTGTAGGGGACTACGTGTTTGGATGGTAGCGCTTAAGAGTTCGTGAGTCCACACAGCTCTGATGGGTACCTGACTGACGTTGAATAAAATAAAGCAGCTGGGTATAGTGCTGACCTGTCGGCTGCCAGCACAGTGAAGAGGTAACCAGGAAACTCGACCAGGCCGGACAGGAAAAAGTTGAGAAAGATGCTGCCTGCCCCCAAGTTGCCGATGTTGTAGTTCAGTCCAAAGTAGGCCAGCCCGCTGACAAACCTGCGAAGACATAGGGCAAATATACGCACAAAACTACAGAATATAAAGTAGGCGAGACCGCTGACAAACCTGCAGAGGATAAAGGGCAAATCTGCTCACAAACCTACAGAATATAAAGGGCAAATCTGCTATAGATATCCAAAATATTAAAATAACCTTGAAATAATCTTAAATTTCTGAATAGCAACCAAGTATAGCTAAAGAAGTGGTGTATATAGGAACTTGTGAAAACTCACATATATTATACAAACCGTCTAGAATTTTTTAAAAATCTACTTATTTAAAGTAATTCTTAAGTAGATATACGAATTACTTCAGTAAGTAGATACAATTATTACTTTAAGCTGCATCCATCATAAAATGGACCTAAATCCCGAACCCAAACCTACAAGTTATTCCATCAATATACCTATACATGTATGCTACAAAGCTGTTGATTGCTTACCAGTTGAAAAAGATGAAAAAGACCCTTAAAAGCAAAGCCGGACTTTTAAAAACGTCCAGAAACCGAGATTGAACTTTCTCGTCTTTTGACGTCTTCGTGTAGGAGCTGTTGCCCTTGACAACGTTCACCAGGAGCTTGTCGTGGCGGTGCTCAAGGGGCATAACCTCGTCCAGCACAGACTCGGGCACCTTGTTGCCGTTAACCCTGGCGGCGTGCGCCAGCGTGTGGCGAGCTTTGGCGTACTGCCCTTTCTGGATCTGCCACCTCGGCGACTCGGGAACAAACCTGCATCGAGAAATATATTTTTAATGATATTTTAAGCTTTTTTTTTAGTTCGCAATAGCTGTTTTTATTATTGTTTGTTTGTTTGTGGATTTGTGGCAAATCTTGTAACTCAATTTAGGTATGCTACAAATGTAGCAATTTTATTTAAAATTTACATATACTTTCGTACCTGAATCCAACTTTTAATCTAATTAGATATTAAATTAATTCAAAGATGATTAAACTGAATATCCGAAGGAACGATAGCATGATTAATCTCATGCAATCATTCTACGCTGGTGAGTTGTTGGTCACGGCTCTTTGACTTTACGCCTGGGAGCCGACCACAACGTTAAGAAGTGGCATTTAATTAAATGGGGTTTAAGGCAAATATTTAGGCCTTATTTTGTTTCTAAAAACTTAAATATAGATTTACTATTTTAATTTTAATTTATTCATTTGGATATTCATTTTTACTAAAAAGAAAATTTAAAAAATAGTTATTTTCCCACGTTTTCTTTAACTTGCTTTCTCTGTTTGTTTGTTTGTTTTTCCAATCAAATCTTGCGATCGAAATTTCTGGCACTTCCCAGTTAGCTAGCGCGCTGAAATTTTCAGGGAAGCTTTCTTTTGGATGACCATAGAATATTCAATTGTTATTATTACTAAATTGATCAATGGAAACATTTTATTGAGCATTTTAGACCGCTATATAATCTATATATATAATTCTCCTCTGCGAGCCATTAGAAAAAAAAAAGAGCGACGCGTAGCTCGCCTCTCTCTTGCCGCGCGCAGTGAAGCGTACGATCCCACGTCGCGACAGGCTTAGGGGCAGATAATTTAGTTTGAACCGACTTTAAACTTACAGGAGGTAACTATTACCACTGGTGGCCAGTTTGGGGGAGACGATATGGTCGAGTGGTTGGGCACACGATTGCTATCCCCCTCGACACGGGTTCAAATCTATGTGTTCTAGTCAGTAACCAGCCCTCGTCCTAACCGCTATCAACTAACCTCTGACAATCATTCACTTGCGATTGAGACCGAAGAAGAAAGGGTCTCTCGTTTTTTACGAGTTGTCTTTTTACGAGTTGTCTTCGTTTACCCAAAAAAAAGTGAAAAGATAAAATCGATAGCAAGATTTCAATGCAAATAAACAGACAAAGACTAAAAAGTAGAAAATAATAATCATTAAAAAAGTTTTAAAAAACCCACGTTTTCTGATTGAACTAAAAAGTAGAAAATAAATACTATACATCACAATAATGCAAGCGATCACTCTACTATAAGCGATGAAAAACGTGGGGCGCCGTGATTTTCTTACAGTTTCTAATACTGTTGACTCTCTACAAGCTCCCTAATAAAAGTCAATAGTATTATCTAATCAATAGTAATATAACTTTTACTTCGGCGCCCCACGTTTTTCATCGCTTATAGTAGAGTGATCGCTTGCATTATTGTGATGTATAGTATTTATTTTCTACTTTTTAGTTCAATCAGAAAACGTGGGTTTTTTTAAAACTTTTTTAATGATTATTATTTTAGTAATAAGCTTGGAAATAAAACAAATATCGCAAATTGCCAAAACATAATACACGTAACTTAGACTAGGGTAAACTTACCACCACATGAGAAAACATGCCAGTTTGGGCAGGGTAAACTTACCACGACATGAGAAAACATGCCAGTTTGGGCAGGGTAAACTTACCACCACATGAGAAAACATGCCAGTTTGGGCAGGGTAAACTTACCACCACATGAGAAAACATGCCAGTTTGGGCAGGGTAAACTTACCACCACATGAGAAAACATGCCAGTTTGGGCAGGGTAAACTTACCACCACATGAGAAAACATGCCAGTTTGGGCAGGGTAAACTTACCACCACATGAGAAAACATGCCAGTTTGGGCAGGGTAAACTTACCACCACATGAGAAAACATGCCAGTTTGGGCAGGGTGAACTTACCACCACATGAGAAAACATGCCAGTTTGGGCAGGGTGACCGCCAACAAGAGGTGTGTCCAGCTTCTGGTGAGAAAACCCAGGCCAGCCACTGAAAGCACGCCGCACGCGACACACATGCTGGTCAAGATGGCGGTGATGGTCCGTTTGGAGGGTCCAACCAGCTCCACACCTGGTGGTAAAAAATAGGAACAGATTTCCTTTTTAGCCCTAGCGATCCATTGGGCAGATGAAGTAGAGTTCGTTTACTTCACACCAAATGATAAAACATAACAGTAACATCAAGAATGTTTGATAAACATAACAGTACTTTTAATAACCTGTTTTTTTTTTACACAATCTACTGCTCACCTGTTGACGTAAGTGTACCACATAATGCACTTAAATTATTAGACTGTTACTTATAAATTAGTATGTCTTTGAAACATTATACGTGCATTCTTTATTATTAATTATTTACATTTACTTGTATCAAAATACCACATGGGTTTCCATCCAATAGACAGTCACGCTTGCTAATCAGTCAAGTTTGTCTTTCAGTCATCTATATATATAATTCTCTTCTTGGAGACGTTAGAAAACAAGCTGTAAGCTCGTCTTGCAGTCCCATCTCTTTCTCTCTAGGAAGTCTGGTGAGCTGTGGTTCACGCTAAATGTTTACAATCGTAGAGACGGGTTTAGTGACGGCTATTAGGGGCAGATAATTTAGTTTGAAACGATTTTAAACTTAGGGGAGGTAGCTAAGGGGAGGCTGCTTTCACGGGGGGTGGGGAAAAGGAGGGGGGTATCGTCCTTAACGACTTACTGATAGTGTTTTAAAGCAAATATTTTCAGTGACAGCAGTGGTACTGTCGAATTCACAAATTATGAATTACTGAAAAGTAGAAATAACGCCGCGGGTCGGCTCGTATTTATAATTCAGCCATACTTGCCTATCAAAACTGCCGACGGCAGGATACCAGCTACCGTTGAGCCGACAAAAAAGTTGAGGATGAGAAACCCAACAAAGTTGTTGACAAACGCCAGTCCAGTTCCGGTAATGGTTGCCAAGGCGATGGCCACAAACATACTCAACTTCCGGCCGATGCTAGGGACAAAACGTGAAATACTTCTAGAAGAAAGAAAGACACAACAAGCACCTATGTCTACATGCATAAAGTAGAACACACCTAACACATTAACCTACATGTACTAGGATACACCTGACAGCTATACCTACATATCTGACAGCTATACCTACATGTCTGACAGCTATACCTACATGTCTGACAGCTATACCTACACGTCTGACAGCTATACCTACATGTCTGACAGCTACACCTACATGTCTGACAGCTATACCTACATGTCTGACAGCTATACCTACATGTCTGACAGCTATACCTACATGTCTGACAGCTATACCTACATGTCTGACAGCTATACCTACATGTCTGACAGCTATACCTACATATCTGACAGCTATACCTACATGTCTGACAGCTATACCTACATGTCTGACAGCTATACCTACATGCCTGACAGACATGTCTGACAGCTATACCTACATGTCTTACAGCTATACCTACATATCTGACAGCTATACCTACATGTCTTACAGCTATACCTACATGTCTGACAGCTATACCTACATGTCTTACAGCTATACCTACATGTCTGACAGCTATACCTACATGTCTGACAGCTATACCTACATGTCTGACAGCTATACCTACATGTCTGACAGCTATACCTACATGTCTGACAGCTATACCTACATGTCTGAGACAGCCCCCATGACCAGAGTGCCAATCAGAAAACCGCCGTAGAAGATCATCACAGCGTGAGACGCCTGGTGTGCGCTGTCACAGACCAGGTTAAACTGGGGGGGGGGGGGGGAATCAAGGTTAATCTCATTAGTGGCTGGATTAAGGTTAATCTTATTAGTGACTTAGTGTCTTGAATAGCAAAATCACGGCTGTATTAAAAGTCCCACCTGACTAACGATGTTATTAAGTCATACCTGACTGGCAGGTGTTATAAAGTCATACCTGACTGACGGCTGTGTTGTAAAACACCGACTGGTCATATACCCAGGTGTCACACTTGACTGTGGTAGCGTTCATCCCAATAGTGGTCGTGTCCATGGTGCTGGTGCTATTGGTGGTGCTGCTGATGGTGCTGCTGATGGTGCTATTGGCGATGGTGCTGCTGATGGTGCTATACACTGAACACGAGTCGTCTGGTGGTATCCATTGGTTGCGGGCCTGTTCATGCTCGGTTGACGTCACGTGATAGGTGTCGTTCAGATATCCCGGGATAACACATCTGGTGTGGATACAAGGATAATCAAGTTGGTTGGTTGGTTGGTTGGTTGGTTGGTTGGTTGGTTGGTTGGTCTGTCTGTCGGTTGGTTGGTTGGTCGGTTGGTTGGTTGGTTGGTTGGTTGGTTGGTTGGTTGGTTGGTTGGTTGGTCTGTTGGTTGGTTGGTTGGTTGGTTGGTTGGTTGGTCTGTCTGTCGGTTGGTTGGTTGGTCGGTCGGTTGGTTGGTTGCTTTGTTGGTTGGTTGGTCTAGGAGTGTCCACTCACCTGTGTCTAGATGTGTCCACTCACCTGTGTCTAGATGTGTCCACTCACCTGTGTCTAGATGTGTCCACTCACCTGTGTCTAGATGTGTCCACTCACCTGTGTCCACTCACCTGTGTCTAGATGTGTCCACTCACCTGTGTCTAGATGTGTCCACTCACCTGTGTCTAGATGTGTCCACTCACCTGTGTCTAGATATGTCCACTCACCTGTGTCTAGATGTGTCCACTCACCTGTGTCTAGATGTGTCCACTCACCTGTGTCGAGGTGTGTACATGATGTACACCAGCACCACTAGGTTCATACCATGAGAGATGGTCACCAAACACAGCAGGAAGTAAACCCTTTTCTGGTACAGGCCGAACTCGCCAACGTGCTTGATGACGTCATCAAACAACATCCTGTTAGTCGTCTGAAAACGGCAGATATTGAAGTAACTATTCGGTTCGGTTTTTTATTCTGTTTTCTTATTTGGCTTGTCCCATTACTGCATCAGCTGGGAATTAAATCGCCTGCAACTTGGAAACAATGGCGTCAAATCCTTGTCTAATGCATTCGTTACAGTAAATTTTTTTATACTACTCCTATGTCCGACTGCAGCGATTTATGCCACATACGTAAACATTTCTTTTTTTTTTTAGTCAGCATGGGTTTATTTTATTGGTTTGTGGCACATCTGGTTACTCACTTTGGACCCACTTCTATACAGCCATTTGTTCCTGATATATTTGTCTCCGATGACAACGTAGAAATATCTAGATTTTTGTCTAATTAAATATTCAATTTATCCTTAAAATTTAATATAAAGATGACTATGTCCAATGTCTAAAAGGGAGGTAATCAGATTAACTAGTAGCGCTACTCAATCATTTGGGTGAGTTGTGTTCACCAATGTTTGCATGTCTGTCTTCCCAACACGAACGTTAAAAAGGGGCAGATAATTGTCTCGTAGAGTTCAAAGTGCAAGCTACTGACTGCATTTTAGTCGTATGATCGTATGGGATGTTAACTTCAATAAGAACGGACTGCAAAAAAATAAACTACTAATTTTTCAAAACTTGGAAATATAGACTTACTGTTAACTTTTATAATTATGATTCTTATTGAAATATTTAATAACAACTATAACCCTAGCTACTTTAATGCTACCTTTAGTGTTGCGTATAACTTAGCTGCGCCACTACTTACCTAAATGTGAAGTATAATCCTAGCCACGCCACTGCTAACCTTAGTGTTAAGTACAGGTTATATACATTAACGTCAGCCTGAACAATGACCTTATATGTATACTAGCTGCATACCCGTGCTCCGCCACGGTAAAACTTTTTTAAATGTACCAACTTGGGAACAGAACAAAACAAAGAAAACACAACCACAACGCAACCACAACACAACCACAACACAACCACAACACAACCACTACAACACCACAACACAGCCACAACACAGCCACAACACAGCCACAAGACAACCACAAAACAACCACAACACAACCACAACACAACCACAACACAACACAACCACAACACAACCACAACACAACCACAACACAACCACAACACAACCACAACACAACCACAATACAACCACAATACAACCACAATACAACCACAACCACAATACAACCACAACACAACCACAACACAACCACAACACAACCACAACATAACCACAACACAACACAACCACAACACAACCACAACACAACCAAAACACAACCACAACACAACCACAACACAACCACAACACAACCACAACACAACCACAACCACAACATTAGAATCACCACCGAACACTATCCTTTCCAAGGCGTCCGAGCCCAAAGAGAGCCTTTCCAGCATAAAAAAAAATTAAGTCACATAAATAGATCCTACTCCAAAACTTACAATAAAACATGCGATGCAAATAAATGTACGGCAAGTGGTGTTTACTTTTATGGTTCTAAGAAATCACATTGGCAATGCAATTAGAATCACCACCGAAAAACACGCTTTCCCAGGCGTCTGCACCCAGCATTCTCTATACTATAATTCTAAAATGTCACCATCTGTTAACACCGAAAAACAAAAACAAAAAAAATAGTGATTTTGAGACGCCCGATTTAGTGAACGACTATAAAAACCCCAGCTTGTACGCAAAGCGAAAGATAGAATAATAATTATTAAACAATACGTTCATTGCATACAATAAATAATTGGCAGCATTTAAAATATCAGTGTTTTACCTACCATATTGCACTTTATCAATTCACGCCTTTTTTCAGTTTTGCATTCACATTTTGCTAATTATATTATTGCAACACTAAATCCTTCTAGGACGTCCGTAGATTTGCACTCACATTTTTTTTTATTAGCGTGAGTTAAATTTATTTTTAAATTACCTCCCTTGTCAAAATTAGATAAAAGAGTTAAATTAATTAAATATTTCTACCCTACTGTTATTATGTTATTAAAATGTATCCACTTTTTTCTGAGAATCTAAACGAAAATGATATTTGACATTAATCTTTTTAATATGTTTTAGCAGTGTGCGTGTATTTAATATTTTCTTGACGTTATGTGAAAGAGTAAAAACAGTGTTTTAAATAAAATAACTTTATGTCGTTATATAAACAAACCCTACTCTATTGGTTATAATAAGATACTGCAATGCACTGAAAAGCACTGCATAGTGCGATGTTTACTTTTATGGTTCCAAAAGTTATAGCGATGACGGAAGGAAGGAAGGAAGGAAGGACTGACACACTACCAGCCCGCTTATATTACAGATCCTACTCCAAGGCCACATAGCGAGGGATTTTAAAGACAATCCCCCTGCCCCCTCCCCCACCACACACACACACACACACTCAACCCCACTCAGCCTTTTAATACCAACACCTATCTCTATTGTTGACCTCGGCAACAAGTTTTGTCTCCATGGCAACCATCATTGCTGCATTGTAAAAGTTGAGAAACAGTAAATCACCCCCCCCCCACCTTTCCCATCAACCTACCCACGGTCACGTATTTAAGTATCCCCTGTGATAAAATAAATCGTGTCTTAAATCTACTGACCATTACAAGAGAGAAAAATAAAACAGGAGCTCCCACAAAAGAAACACCGTCCCTAGCCGCTAGCCGGAAATCTTGTGGTGAATAACAACTGCAGCGATGTTGATAAACTAGGACAGAAGCTCACGCATGCGCACACAAACTATTTGCCGGTGAGACTGTCAAGGCAAGGTTTTAAATTGTCATGGTTTATTTAATTTGGTGACGCACTGCGTTGGTACCGTGGTATGGGTTAACGGTAATTTTATCCAAGAAATAATTTATAAACAACATGTAATAGCTATAAAAAAAGAACAGTACGCGTTATTACTACTAAGTCAACATTATTTTTTTTTAAATATTTTTTTCTTGGTGTTACTGTTTTTCGGAGTCAGCTTCAAGCTGTTGTTAATGTCGTGTTATATTGATGGTAGTGTCAATGTCGTGTTATATTTATATTGATGGTGGTGTCAACGTCGTCTAATACTGATGGTGTTGCCAATTTCGTGTTATATTGATGGTAGTGTCAATGTCGTGTTATATTGATGGTGGTGTTAACGTCGTGTTATATTGATAGTAGTGTCAATGTCGTGTTATATTGATGGTGGTGTCAACGACGTGTTATGTTAATGGTGGTGTCAACGACGTGTTATGTTAATGGTGGTGTCAATGTCGTGTTACATTTATATTGATGTTAGTGTCAATGTCGTGTTATATTGAAGGTCCTATCAATGTCGTGTGTTACAGTGATTACTATAATGATGTAGAAAAACCAGTCAAATTCAGAACAGTAAAATTACATTACAAAATTAATGTACATCTATCTATATCTATCTATCTATATATATAAAAAGCAATGTATGTTTGTCTGTGTGTCTGTCTGTCTGTCTTTTATGCATTATTACACCTCTCATCACATCGCCATGAAACTTTGGGAAGTTGTTGTGAATATTTCTGGAAAGGTTTCTTAGAAAAAAAAATTTCGAATTCGCAGGGGTGGCGCCCCGGTAGGGCGCGATTTATTTTTTTTTCTTTTAGCGCTATATAAAAATAAAAGTCGATTTTGGTTTTCCACCGTTCATCCGATAGGCATGAGACTTTGGGGAGTTGATTAGAACACTACCTTAAAGTTCTGCAAAAAAAAAAAATTTAATTTTCGCAAGGGCGGCTCCACGGGAGGATGCGATTTTTCTCTATATACAGTATGTAAAAATAAAAGTCGATTTTGGTTTGACACCATTCATCCGATCGCCATCAAACTTTGATGAGTTCATTAGAACACAGTGGGGAAGGGTTCTGTAAAAAAAATAATTTTAATTTTGCAGGGGCGGCGCCACGGGAGGGTGTGATGTATCTCAATATACAGTATATAAAAAATAAAAGTCGATTGCAGTTTCACACCATTCATCCGATCGATATCAAAGTTTGGGGAGTTGATAAGAACACTACATGGAAGGGTTCTGCAAAAAATATTTTTTATAATTTCGCAAGGGCGGCGCCACGGGAGGGTGCGATTTTTCTCTATATACAGTATGTAAAAATAAAAAACTATTTTGGTTTGTCACCATCCATCCGATCGCCATCAAACGTTGGTGACTTCATGAGAACACTCTGGGGAAGGGCTCTGTAAAAAAACATTTTTAATGTCGCAAGGGCGGCGCCACGGGATGGTGGTATTTTTCTCTATCTACGGTATATAAAAATAAAAGACGATTGCGGTTCGACACAGTTTATCCGGGTGGGTGGGTGGTGGTGGGAATTTAATTTTGCATGGGCTTCCCCCCCCCCCGGCAGGATTTGATTTGGCGCCCTGGTCTTTCCCGTGAGCGCTTTGGCGACTACGTTTGGTCTAAACAGTGTGATAGACAATGGATAGGATGGGGCGTTACAAACGTTAACTAAATTATGCGTACGGCCCCTGGCTCCTTAAAACGCGGCACCCCTGCGGTAGTGTAAACGGAGGCTCCAAGTTTTCATGCGGTAGTAAAGGGAAACTCGGGTCCCGATATTTATGATTCAAGCGCAGGCATTGTTTACATTTAAATAACTCACTTTTACAAAATAAGGTCAGGCGCCTAAAAATATATGATTGGTAACGCATTGATGAAACCTTTCTTATATATTTAGACAGACTTTCTTTTATTCCCGCGGCAACACGCGGGGACGGGTACGCTAGTATATATATATAATTTATATATATATATATATATATATATATATATATATATATATATATATATATATATATGTGTGTGTGTGTGTGTGTGTGTGTATGAGTGTGTGTGTGCTGTCACATGACCTGGTCATCTTTCGGTCGGTCAACAATTCAGTTGTTTAGATAAAAAAAAAAGCACTTGTTTTTTGTTTTTATCAGGTCAACCTGACCTTTAGCTCAGAAGACGATCTGACGGTTGGACGGTTGTTTTTCAGCGCCAGAGATAATCATGTCACCATGACATGACACCACATCACGTTTTGTTACGCCTGTTGTTGATGTTCCGTTTTTACCTTCTTGGCGCTGTTTCTTCAGGCTGTCAAATCATTTCTTGACATGGTTCTCTCTCCTGTAAATTACAAAGACAATTCGCTTTAAAATAAATCCGCCTGATCTGTATGTAGTTAATCGTAATTGTGGTTGTCACGTGGTTTAAATTAAGTTTTCAAATGTTACTAAAAATATCCTCACTTATTCTGGAATCTGCCTAATTTGAGAATTGATGTAATTTTGAATTATTAGCATTTTGAATATCTCCTTCGCCAACGTTGATTATCATAATAATATTAGTTATAAGGTTTTTTGTTGATGTTTTTTTTTTACTGTTTTTAAAAATGTGTTATTATGTCCTGTTAATTTATAGTATATGTTAAGTCCCTACTAGTTGTGTACTGTTTACCCTGTACCACATACTGATTCAGGTTGTTAAAGTTCACATCAACATATTCATTGTGCGCAGGTCACACACATACAGTTTCAACCACTCCGTAAAGGGACATAACCATGAATTTAGTTTATCTGTTAAGTATTTAGTACAAATAGCTTCCCATTGCACTTGAAGTTATATATACACAAAGAGATTAAAATAGAAGTATTCTTGTAAGCAAACCATTGACCCAATCACATGCATTTTCACAAGGATTTTTACAAGGATTTGATATAACTGTATAATCTTAACGTTTTTTATCAAAGTATTTTATCAAATACAGAACTTAGTAATTAACGATCAAATAACCAAAACATAAAACAGAATCTGTTCAATGCATAAAAATAGCCATCAAACAATTCAAAGGTATTATATTACCTTGATATAAAAAAATTAAAAACGCAATGTAAACATGAGAATTTAAAAATGTGCAATAAAAATAGTATCTATACAATGTACATAAAATAGATCAATTATGTTCATCAGTTACATTTTTTTGTCAACCAAAAATATCTGCAAGTAGCAGAAATAATGAAAACATGGTAGGCTCCTCTTAGTCAACATCTTCTGACAACATCACGATACATTAGCTTCAACATCTTTAGGAAACATCATCCTTAACATCTATAGACAGCATCGACTTCAACATCTTCAGAAAACGTCGACTTCAGCATCTTCAGGCAACATCACGATACATTATCCAGCAGTGCTGGTGATGCCACATCGATTTCAACTTTCATTGGTTTATCCTTATGAGCACATTTTGGTTTCCTGGATATTGAAAATAGAGTTATTTGTTTATACTTTATACTCTAAGTTGTTTTATTTAACATGACATTTTTATAAACACCTGAGATTTTAAAACTAATGGTGTTATAATATCACAGTTTGTGTAGTGTGTCACGCCGGTAGGGTACGGTGTGTTGTCTAGCTCGGTCACTGAAAGGGCTTCCCCCTCCACACCCCATCAACACCCCCTCCACACCCATTCACACCCACACCCCCTCTACATCCCCATCACGTCCCCTCCAAACCAATCGACACCCCCTCCATACCTATCCATACCCATCAACACCCCTCCACACCCATCCACATACCCTCTCCCTGTCATTAATGCTCCTAGATGATCTCAATAACGGTAAATAAATCGGCTTTGTTTTTAACCACCGCATCCCCCACATGTTAGATACAGAATCTCATTTGTATCGCCCTGTAGATATGTATACAACTGTCACCCGCAGTGTAGAACCGTGTCAAACCATTTAGTTACATCACCACATCCATCCTGATAAACCTGGGCATTTTATTTTTTGGTCAGTTCTATCATACCATTGATAGTAGGACCTGGTCATTTCTAGTATAAGAGGAGTAGGGCCTACTACACCCCTGGCCATTGTCTTACCTGGTCAGTTCCATCATATCACCGATAGTTTCCGGCAGTTTCTGGTTCATGGTCTCAGGTAAAACAAAGAACATGAACGAGGCAGCGAGAGCCAGACAACCACAGACCAACAAGGGGACGCTACTCCCCAAAACTCCCACAGTTCTGGCCCCCTGAGAATAAAATAAACAGAGTTATCGTTGACATCCAGCCTTGATTGAAATGGTTCAATACACGAGACCGACGAAGTTTCAACAACAATAAATCTGAGCCGCCTTGTAAGGAGCCACCGTCCCATGAGCCACTACACAGGTGAGTTAGTTACCTGAGCCGCCATGTAAGGAGCCACCGTCCCATGAGCCACTACACAGGTGAGTTAGTTACCTGAGCCGCCATGTAAGGAGCCACCCTCCCATGAGCCACTACACAGGTGAGTTAATTACCTGAGCCGCCATGTAAGGAGCCACCGTCCCATGAGCCACTACACAGGTGAGTTAGTTACCTGAGCCGCCATGTAAGGAGCCACCGTCCCATGAGCCACTACACAGGTGAGTTAGTTACCTGAGCCGCCATGTAAGGAGCCACCCTCCCATGAGCCACTACACAGGTGAGTTAATTACCTGAGCCGCCATGTAAGGAGCCACCGTCCCATGAGCCACTACACAGGTGAGTTAGTTACCTGAGCCGCCATGTAAGGAGCCACCGTCCCATGAGCCACTACACAGGTGAGTTAGTTACCTGAGCCGCCATGTAAGGAGCCACCGTCCCATGAGCCACTATACAGGTGAGTTAGTTACCTGAGCCGCCATGTAAGGAGCCACCGTCCCATGAGCCACTACACAGGTGAGTTAGTTACCTGAGCCGCCATGTAAGGAGCCACCGTCCCATGAGCCACTACACAGGTGAGTTAGTTACCTGAGCCGCCATGTAAGGAGCCACCGTCCCATGAGCCACTACACAGGTGAGTTAGTTACCTGAGCCGCCATGTAAGGAGCCACCGTCCCATGAGCCACTACACAGGTGAGTTAGTTACCTGAGCCGCCATGTAAGGAGTCACCGTCCCATGAGCCACTACACAGGTGAGTTATGCAAGCCTTACCTGAGCCGCCATGTAAGGAGCCACCGTCCCATGAGCCACTACACAGGTGAGTTAGTTACCTGAGCCGCCATGTAAGGAGCCAGCATGGAGCCGACCCTAGCCCAACAGGAACAGACTCCAATGGCGGAGTTCCTGAGCGAGGTGGGGAAGACTTCAATAGAGTACATGTACACAGTCCCCATAACTCCAGCGGCACCAAGCTTGCCTATCATGGCGAACATAACCGTGATCCACTGAAGGTCTGAAACATTCCAACACAGTTTTTTTTTTCAATTTTTTTTTTAAAGTTGTACGTTCAAATACGTTTTCTAAATTATTGTGGTTGTATTATGTTAGAGATTTTATAAAATCAGTTTTAATAAAACTTTCTTTTTTGACAAAAGGGGTCGTCCATTAACGACATCACACTATAGTGACAATGGGGAATGGGGGGGGGGCGAAATTTTGTGACGTATTGTGATCAGGGAAGGGGGAGGAAGCTCAGAATCTGTGAGAATAAACTTTTGTATTTTAAAAAGTTATTTTAGAATTTTTTTTTTTAAATTGCGGTTCCCTGTTTTAAAAATATTTTTCTGCTGTAATTTGTAACATACATTGATTTATATTATTAAAGTTGGCCAAGATCAGTAAAAAAATTTGATAAAATAGATATTAAAAAAAAATAACTTCAATTTTGAAGGAAGGGGTGTGATGGTTGTAGTTTGAGGTGTGACGCCTTTGTGATTGGTGGGGGGGGGGGGGGGGGGGGGGTTTGTGACGATGTGTGACAATGGGAAAAAGGGGAGGCTACTAGCATAAAAAAGCGTGACATCATTTATGGATGACCCCAACAATTTCTGTGTTGTTTCCCTTACCAGAAAGTATTTCCGTAAATCTAAAAATAAATCCAAGTCTGACCTGCAGGGGCGAACACAATGGAGAGGACAGAACACAGGCAGGCAACTCCACAGACAAACATCAGGAGAAAGTGGCACATCTTGCGGCCTATCCTGTGGGACGTAAACTAAACATAAGGATAAAGTGGCACATCTTGCGGTCTATCCTGTGGGATAAACATAAACATAAGGAGAAAGTGGCACATCTTGCGGCCTATCCTGTGGGACATAAACATAAGGATAAAATAGGATATCTTGCGGCCTATCCTGTGGGACGTAAACATAAGGATAAAATAGGATATCTTGCGGCCTATCCTGTGGGACGTAAACATAAGGATAAAATAGGATATCTTGCGGCCTATCCTGTGGGACGTAAACATAAGGATAAAATAGGATATCTTGCGGCCTATCCTGTGGGACGTAAACATAAGGATAAAATCAGGATATCTTGCGGCCTATCCTGTGGGATAAACATAAACATACGGATACAATAGGATATCTTGCGGCCTATCCTGTGGGACGTAAACATAAGGATACAATAGGATATCTTGCGGCCTATCATGTGGGACATAAACATAAGGATAAAATAGGATACCTTGCGGCCTATCCTGTGGGACGTTAACATAAGGATAAAATAGGATATCTTGCGGCCTATCCTGTTGGGTAAACATAAACACCAGGATAAAATAGGATATCTTGCGGCCTATCCTGTTGGGTAAACATAAACACCAGGATAAAATAGGATATCTTGCGGCCGTATTCTTACTAGCCTTAAACTGTATTGAAGTTTGTAGGACTTAACAACGTCAAACATTTAATGTCATACCAAGTGTTGTTAAGACAAGAAGTGTCAAGTCGGGGAATGTCATAAATGTCATGAAGTATCATGCATGTTATGTCTGGAAGTGTTATAGATGTCAGGAAGTGTCATGCATGTCATGTCAGTACGTGTCATGACAGTAAGAAACCCGTATGTCACCTGTCAGCTGCCAGCACAGTAAAGAGATGACCAGGAAACTCGACCAGGCCGGACAGAAAAAAGTTGAGAAAGATGCTGCCTGTCCCCAAGTTGCCGATGTTGTAGTTCAGTCCAAAGTAGGCCAGTCCGCTGACAAACCTGCGAAGATATAGGGCAAATATACGCACAAAACTACAGAATGTAAAGTAGGCGAGACCGCTGACAAACCTGCAGAGGATAAAGGGCAAATCTGCTCACAAAACTACTATAGATATCCAAAATATTAAAATAACCTTGAAATAATCTTAAATTTCTGAATAGCAACCAAGTAGAGCTAAAGAAGAGGTGTATTTAGAAGTTTGCGTAAACTCACATGTAATATATTATATAAACCGTCTAGAATTTTAAAAATCTACATATTTAAAGTAATTCTTAAGTAGATACACTAATTACTTCAGTAAGTAGATACACTAATAACTTGAGGTTGCATCCATCATAAAATAAACCTAAATCCCGAACCCAAACATACAAGTTATTCAATAAATATACCTATTCTACACATGCATGTTAAAAAGCAGTTGATTGCTTACCAGTTGAAAAAGATGATAACGACCCTTAAAAGCAAAGCTGGACTTTTAAAAACGTCCAGAAACCGAGATTGGACTTTCTCGTCTCTTGACGTCTTCGTGCAGGAGTTGTTGCCCTTGACACCGTTCACCAGGAGCTTGTCGTGGCGGTGCTCAAGGGGCATAACCTCGTCCAGCACAGACTCGGGCACCTTGTTGCCGTTAACCCTGGCGGCGTGCGCCAGCGTCTGGCGAGCTTTGGCGTACTGCCCTTTCTGGATCTGCCACCTCGGCGACTCGGGAACAAACCTGTCAGGCATTGGGTAAATTTTAAGCTTTTTAAAATATCAAAATGGCTGTTGTAATTGTTTGTTGGTTTGTTTGTGGGCTTGTGACAAAGCTTATAACTACAAAGATTTTTTTCCCCAATAGGTATTTGTTTTATTTCCAAGCCAGTAAACATTTGTCATGTTGTATCTTTATGCTAGGTACTAATAAAACGTACTACAACTGGTGATAGGGAGGTGCGAGGGGGTATTAAGCTAGAGCAAGTAGTTTCAAGTATAATTATTTTTTTCTCATAATTATCATTAGAAATTAAAAAGAAACACGTTTTCTGATTGAACTAAAAAGTAGAAAAGCTCGCTCCTTCATGATTTTTCATTTGTTTTTCAGTAAGCCAGAAGAGGGAAAGTACTTAACCTTGTATTTATCAAATTACAATTACTAGGTTATGTCCCTTTTTTGTACAAATCAATAGGAGTCTAAAATGATCAATAAAATATTTTTACATGGATCAATTTAGTAATAATAATAATTGAATATTGTATTGTCATCGGAAACCCTGAAAATTTCAGCGCGCTAGCTAACTGGGAAGTGCCCGAAATTTCGATCGCAAGATTTGATGGAAAGACAAACAAACAAACAAACAAACAGACGCGAAAGCAAGTTAAAGAAAACGTGGGGAAAAATAGAGACTAACCATTCATTTAGATACACGTGTTTTCTGTAGTGGAGTTTTTCCCGGGTAATATAGTTATTATATACTTAACCATATCCATTCGCCAAAAACAATGATTTAATTGAAAGGTTTATGAAATGAAGTAGAACATTTCAAAATGTTGTACTAGAAAAATTTCAAGAAAGAGAGTGTATAGCTTTCAGGAGTGAGATTACACAAAACTTACCACCACATGAGAAAACATGCCAGTTTGGGCAGGGTAAACTTACCTCCACATGAGAAAACATGCCAGTTTGGGCAGGGTGAACTTACCACCACATGAGAAAACATGCCAGTTTGGGCAGGGTGAACTTACCACCACATGAGAAAACATGCCAGTTTGGGCAGGGTGACAGCCAGTAAGAGATGTGTCCAGCTTCTGGTGACAAAACCCAGGCCAGCCACTGACAGAACGCCGCACGCGAAAAACATGTGGGTCAAGATGGCGGTGATGGTCCGTTTGGAGGGTCCAACCAGCTCCACTCCTGATGGTAAAAAAAATTAGGAAAGATTCCTCTCTAGACTTAGAGATGGGCAGATGAAGTAGAGTTAATTTATTTCACACCAAATGATAAAACTCACATAAATAAATAACAGTAATATCAACAATATGTTTTAGAAACACAATACTTTCAATATCTTGTTGGTTTTTTTTTTTACCTGATCTACTGTTCATATGTTGACGTAAGTGTACCACATAATGTACTTAAATCATTTGACCGTTACTTTTAAATTAGTATGTCTTTGAAACATTATACGTGCCTTCTTAATTATTAATTATTTACATTTACTTGTATCAAAACACCACCCCTGTTTCCCGCTAAAGACAGTCACGTTTGCTAATCAGTCAAGTTGGCTTTCAGTCATATTTATAATTCAGCCATACTTGCCTATCAAAATTGCCGACGGCAGGATACCAGCTACCGTTGAGCCGACAAAAAAGTTGAGGATGAGAAACCCAACGAAGTTGTTGACAAACGCCAGCCCAGTTCCGGTGATGGTTGCCAAGGCGATGGCCACAAACATACTCAACTTCCGGCCGATGCTAGGGACGAAACGTGAAATACTTCTAGAAGTACGACACAACAGGCACTTATGCCTACATGTATTATGACACACCCAACACCTACATTCACATAGTAGAACACACTCATCTTACACTTATTTACAACACCCCTGACAGGTATACCTACATGTCTGACAGCTATACCTACACGTCTGACAGCTATACCTACATGTCTGAGATAGCCTCCATGACCAGAGTGCCAATCAGAAAACTGAGAGCTATACCTACATGTCTGACAGCTATACTTACATGTCTGACAGCTATACCTACATGTCTGATAGCTATACCTACATGTCTGACAGCTATACCTACATGTCTGACAGCTATACCTACATGTCTGACAGCTATACCTACATGTCTGAGACAGCCCCCATGACCAGAGTGCCAATCAGAAAACCGCCGTAGAAGATCATCACAGCGTGAGACGCCTGGTGTTCGCTGTCACAGACCAGGTTAAACTGGGGGGATTAAGGTTAATCTCATTAGTGGTTGGATTAAGGTTAATCTAATTAGTGGTTGGATTAAGGTTAATGTCATTAGTGAGTGGATTAAGGTTAATCTCATTAGTGAGTGGATTAATGTTAATCTCATTAGTGGGTGGATTAAGGTTAATCTCATTAGTGGGTGGATTAAGGTTAATCTGATTAGTGGTTGGATTAAGGTTAATCTCATTAGTGAGTGGATTAAGGTTAATCTCATTAGTGAGTGGATTAAGGTTAATCTCATTAGTGGGTGGATTAAGGTTAACCTCATTAGTGGCTGGATTAATGTTAATCTCATTGGTGGTTGGATTAAGGTTAATCTCATTAGTGGGTATATTAAGGTTAATCTCATTAGTGGGTGAATAAAGGTTAATCTCATTAGTGAGTGAATTAAGGTTAATCTCATTAGTGAGTGGATTAATGTTAATCTCATTAGTGGGTGGATTAAGGTTAATCTCATTAGTGGGTGAATAAAGGTTAATCTCATTAGTGAGTGGATTAAGGTTAATCTCATTAGTGGGTGGATTAAGGTTAATCTCATTAGTGAGTGGATTAAGGTTAATCTCATTAGTGAGTGGATTAAGGTTAATCTCATAAGTGGGTGGATTAAGGTTAATCTCGTTAGTGGCTGGATTAAGGTTAATCTCATTAGTGGTTGGATTAAGGTTAATCTCGTTAGTGGTTGGATTAAGGTTAATCTCATTAGTGGCTGGATTAAGGTTAATCTCATTAGTGAGTGGATTAATGTTAATCTCATTAGTGGGTGGATTAAGGTTAATCTCATTAGTGGGTGGATTAAGGTTAATCTCATTAGTGACTGGATTAAGGTTAATCTCATTAGTGGGTGAATTTAGGTTAATCTCGTTAGTAACGATTGCTGGTTAAGCTAATATTTAAAACTGTTTGGACAAGAATATTTAAAATCGGAAAAGTGTTTGAGAATGTTAGATGACTATTTCTAAAAACTAAACATTTAAAAGATTTACATTCGTCGAAAGAAAGGCTAGAAAACTAAACAAATGTAGTAGTATTTTGGTTAAATGTTAAGTATTGTTTTTATGCAATTATGGGGGATACGATTGTTGCGGAAAATACACTACAGTAAATAAGTGTCTTGTTTAGATCCGGTCAAAAATAGCAAAATACCGACAGTGCTAAAAGTCACACCTGACTGACGGGTTTGTTATCGGTCATAAATGACTGACGGCAGTTATAAAGTCATACCTGATTGGCAGGTGTTATAAAGTCATACCTGACTGGCAGGTGTTATAAAGTCATACCTGACTGACGGCTGTGTTGTAAAACACGGACTGGTCAAATACCCAGCTGTCACACTTTACTGTGGTAGCGTTCATTCCAATAGTGGTCGTGTTGATGGTGATGGTGATGGTGCTGTTGGTGGTGCTGCTGATGGTGCTATACACAGAACATGAGTCGTCTGGTGGTATCCATTGGTTGCGGGCCTGCTCGTGCTCGGGTGACGTCACGTGATAGGTGTCGTTGGGATACCCCGGGATAGCGCATCTGGTGGGGATACAAGGATAGTCAAGTTGGTTGGTCTGTTGGTCGGTTGGTTGCTTGCTTGCTTGCTTTGTTGGTTGGTTGGTCTAGGAGTGTCCACTCACTTGTGTCTAAATGTGTCCACTCACCTGTGCCTAGGTGTGTCCACTCACCTGTGTCTAGGTGTGTCCACTTACCTATGTCCACTCACCTGTGTCCTCTCACCTGTGTCTTGGAGTGTCCACTCACTTGTGTCTAAATGTGTCCACTCACCTGTGTCTAGGTGTGTCCACTCACCTGTGTCTAGGTGTGTCCACTCACCTGTGTCTAGGTGTGTCCACTTACCTATGTCTAGATGTGTCCATTCACCTGTGTCTAGGTGTGTCCACTCACCTGTGTCTAGATGTGTCCACTCACCTGTGTCTAGATGTGTCCACACACCTGTGTCTAGATGTGTCCACACACCTGTGTCTAGATGTGTCCCTTCACATGTGTCTAGATGTGTCCACTCACCTGTGTCTAGATGTGTCCACTCACCTGTGTCTAGGTGTGTCCACTCATCTGTCTCTAGATGTGTCCTCTCACCTGTGTCTAGATGTGTCCACTTACCTGTGTCTAGATGTGTCTACCCACCTGTGTCCACTCACCTGTGTCGAGGTGTGTACATGAGGTACACCAGCACCACCATGGCCATACCATGAGAGATGGTTACCAAACAGAGCAGGAAGTAAACCCTTTTCTGGTACAGGCCGAACTCGCCCACGTGCTTGATGACGTCATCAAACAACATCCTGTTGGTCGTCTGAAAATGGCAGATATTGAAGCAAGGGCGTAGCGAGGGGGGGGGGGTGCGGGGGGTGCGGACCGCACCGGGTGACACCATTTAGGTGGGTGACACCAAGGCAAAAAATAGGAAAATATATAGAGAAAAACTTGAGGGGGGGGGGGGGGGGTGCAAATCGAAAGTTCGAGGGGGGGGTGCAAATCGAAAATTTGAAAGTTTGTCCCCGGGAAGGGTCGCTACGCCTCTGGGGGGGGGGGGGTGACACCATTAAGTGCCGCACCGGGTGACACCCGACCTCGCTACGCCACTGTATTGAAGTAACCTTTCCGTTCTTTTTTGTTCTTATTTCGCTAGTCTTACTACTGAACCAGATGAGAATTAAATCGCCTGCAACACGGAAACAATGGCGTCAAATCCATGCCTAATGCATTCGTTACATCGTCTTTATCGGACACAATTTCATGTCCGACATCAGTCATTTAAAGTATGCCACACACGTTAACATTTATATTTATAGTCAGCGTTAGTTCATTTAATGGGGTTGTGGCACATCTTGTTACTCAATTTGGACCCACTTCTATACAGCCATTTGTTCCTGATATATTTGTCTCCGATGACAACGCACGAATATCTAGATTTTAATCTAATTAAATATTACATTTATCCTTAAAATTTAATTTAAAGATGACTATATCCAATGTCTAAAAGGGATATAATCCGATTAATTAGTAACTATACTCAATCAGTCGGGTGAGTTGTGTTCACCAATGTTTACATGTGTTAGTCCCCAACACGGACAGTAATAAGCGGCAGATAATTGTATCGTAGGGTTCAAAGTGCAAGCTACTGACTATTTTAGTCGTGTGGGATGTTAACTTCAATAAGAACAACTTTTTCAAAACTTGGAAATATCGACTTATGTTAATTTTTATATTTATGATTCTTCTTGAAATCTTTAATAATAAGTATAACCCTAGCTACCTTAGTTACTGCTAACTTAAGTGTTACGTATAACTTAATTACGTCACTGCTAACCTAAACGTTAAAAATAATTTAGTTACGCAACTCAAAATTAAATGTAAAATATAACTTAGCAACGCCACTACTCACCTAAATGTTAAGTATAACCCTAGCCACGCCACTGCTAATCTTGGTGTTAAGTACAGGTTATATAACGACAGCCTGAACAATGACCTTATATGCATATCCTACTCCAAGGCCACTTAGCGATGGATTTTCAAGACAATCCCCCCCCCCCCCACACACACACACTCTCAACCCCACTCAGCCTCTTAACACCAACACCTGTCGCCATTGTTGACCTATTATCTCGGCAACGAGTTTTGTCTCCATGGCAACCATCATTGCTGCCTTGTAAAAGTTGAGATACTTTTATTGTATCATACATCCAGTAAATCACCCCCCCCCCCCCCCCACCCTCCCAACGGTCACATGTTTAAGTATCGCCTGCGATAAAATAAATCTACTGACCATTACAAGAGAGAAAAATAAAACAGGAGCTCCCACAAAAGAAACACCGTCCCTAGCTGCTAGCCGGAAATCTTGTGGGGAATAACAACTGCAGCGATGTTGATAAACTAGGACAGTAGCTTGCGCATGCGCACACAACCTATTTGCCGGTGAGGCTGTCAAGACTAGGTTTTAAATTGTCCTGGTTTATTTAATTTGGTCATGCACTGCGTTGGTATGGAATGGGAGGGGGAGGGGGGTTGGGGGTACTTAAATGGATAAACACGGGATGCTAAACAACCGGTCTAGACTTGGAAAAGATACAACTTCATTTCCTTGTTTGTTGTCACAGTGTTTGATTGTTAGAGCAATGTAATGGCCCTACTGCTGGGTACCTAAAGCAGCTGAGTGAACTCAGTCGAATATTATAGAACACAGTAGAGATTTTGTACTGCCAGTTTTTTTAATCTACAGTACTGTCGTACGGTTTAAGGGTAGTTTTATCTAAGAAATAATTTAATTTATAAACCGGATGTAATCACCATATAAACAGTACGCTTTATCACTGCTAAGTCAACAATATTTTTTAAAGAATATTTTCTTGGTGTCAATGTTTTTCGGAGTAAGCTTCAAACTGTTGTCAATGGGGTTAGTGGGGGTTTAAAGTCAGGGAAAATCAGGGGAAAGGAAAAATATCAACAGGAAAAAAAAATCTTAGAGCAATGTGACATTTAAAAAATCGACAGTAAGCTCCCCTAAACTGTCACGTGGGTTTAAAAAGTCAGGGTTGGGAATCACATCCAGTAAAATCCGGTTGAAAAAAATGATAGGTTAGTTTGTGCCAGAACCGCTCATTTACTATCAAACATAGGCCGAAGGTTTTTATTTTATGTGCTTTTTGAGAATAAGACATCAAAGTATCAAGTTTTAAAGGTTTTTGAACTAACCGTAAGCTAGAGTAAAATACCACTTCCAATAAACGGACATGGCTCATATTTAGGTATGAGATTTGGTCCACCTAACTGAAACAGTGCACAAGTTGTTGTGTTTACACGAGATGTTTCGTATTGGGGAATATAAAAATCACACTAGAAAAAAAACTGAACGGTAAAAAAAAGTCACAGTTTTTTTTTTTTTTTTTTTTTTTTTGAGGAATAATTTGGTAATGAATGTGTGATTAGCTTGGTCAGTGTTGACTGGAGAGGAGTTCCATGTGGCAAGTCACTTTTAACTCCGTCTTCTTTTCAATCTGCGCCAATCCAAATCTAGTATTACAATAATACAATACAACTGATTCGTTCTGAACATTCGTTTCAATCTTTAGTACAACAACCTTTTAAATGTTTATACATTTCACATCTTTTCTACATGTTTTTCATACTAACTCAATATTTTCATTAATATTAATTAATTAGATCATTAAGCTTATTAATGTTTGCGTTAACTTTTTGTTTGTATTTTCAATTAACTTTAAAAATAATTTGAGTTTTGTTATGTTCTAATAGTATCAAACTTTTTCTTTTAAATTTGTATTTTAAGAAATATTTCATGAAATCAATTTTATAAGCAAATTCCATGCAAACGCAAATGTTTAACTTCTTTCCTGCGACTTTTTTCCTGCGACTCCCCCCCCCCCCCCCTCTAAGCGCGCACGTCATACCTGTGTTACAGTGAGCCCACGCTGCCTGGGTCTAAGTCCGTCTGCTAGTCAAGATGATGTGACAAATATCTAGACAGTCAGTCAGTTTTGTGTGACCACTGGTCACCGCATCAGTCCTTCAAACCTCACGATATCAGGAAACTGATTCACGTGATTTTAACGAGAAGGGGCTGCTATATATAACTAAACAACGTTAAAAACACGTAGATCTAGATTACAGAACACAAAAATAGCAGTTTTTAAACTGCTTACCTTTGTTGTCCTGTTTTCGTGCTAAATTCGAGCGAGGCGCAGCCAGAATGACTGAAAATATTTTTTTGTTTTTATTTTAACCTTTGACCATGACCTTTGATAGAAGTTCTTATTGGCTATTTTCTCTAAAGGTTAGTTACTTCTGTTTCTTAACTTATTTTTTGAATTCCTAAACCACGACTCATTATTGATAAATGTATTGACCACTGTCCTATTTTTTAAGTCCGAGTATTTGATAACTAACGAATTGACGTTCAAAATGGCTAGAGTTGCGCATCAGTTTAATGTAGGGGACACAACTCCATATGCGGAGTTTTCCTTCTAGCAGGGAGTGGGGCAGTTTTTTTTAGATCAATTTTCTCCGAAGGGGGGGGGGGGAGGGTCACTTGAAATTTGGGGGGGGGGGGGGGGAACACTGGTAAAAGCATTTATTTTCTATGTAAATTATATTTTGTTATGGAGTGGTAGGTGGGGGGACAGTCCCCCCTCCCCCCCCCCCCCCCCCAACAAAGATACCTGAAAGAAACTCGGAGGGTGGGAAGAGTAAAAGTTCACACGTCAGTGAAGGTAACATTGATTATGGGGCGAGAGGGGGGGATAATGATTCTAAGAACGTCAAAATGTTATTTATGATTATATGACATTAAAGAGTTTTAAAAATTAAATAGTAGAAAGAAAGCGACACTAGCGCTAAGTCCCCAACAGTTTTAACGTAACGCGCGACAAACCCCCAATTTTGGAGTCTAACATGGGGTTTATAACCCCCGGTCTACGCTCTTTCCACACATGTGAAGGTGCTTTAACAAAATGGCCATGGGAAGGTAAAAATGTTATGTGGGTTTTTTTGTTTGTTGCTGTTGACGAGTTTGAACAAATAAAATCCATGCCGCATCAAAGATGCTGTTTCACTGTCACTGTTTCACTGTCACTGTTTCACTGTTTCACTGTCACTGTTACAATGTCACTGTTTCAATGTCACTGTTTCAATGTCACTGTTTCACTGTCATGATTTCCCGAGCATGACTGTGACTTCAATGTCGTCAAATGTTTGATCCCGCGCAGCCTGCTCTAGGCAACATGTCGGAGATGTACAAGATGGCGGGTCTGACAAGTGGGTGGAATGTTGTCAGTGCTAGATCTTGGTCGTCATACATGTCATTACAGAGTGACAGGCTGGAATTGACAGAGAACATTTTCACATAGATCAAGCTTGATCTAAGACCGAACATTGTCACATAGGTCAAGCTTGATCTAAGACCGAACATTGTCACATAGATCAAGCTAGATCTAAGACCGAACATTGTCACATAGGTCAAGCTTGATCTAAGACCGAACATTGTCACATAGATCAAGCTTGATCTAAGACCGAACATTGTCACATAGGTCAAGCTTGATCTAAGACCGAACATTGTCACATAGGTCAAGCTTGATCTAAGACCGAACATTGTCACATAGGTCAAGCTTGATCTAAGACCGAACATTGTCACATAGGTCAAGCTTGATCTAAGACCGAACATTGTCACATAGGTCAAGCTTGATCTAAGACCGAACATTGTCACATAGGTCAAGCTTGATCTAAGACCGAACATTGTCACATAGGTCAAGCTTGATCTAAGACCGAACATTGTCACATAGGTCAAGCTTGATCTAAGACCGAACATTGTCACATAGGTCAAGCTTGATCTAAGACCGAACATTGTCACATAAGTCAAGCTAAAATTGATAGAAAACAATGGCACTAACATAGAACATCGTTACAAAGATCAAGTTAGATCAAACATACAGAGGCGTAGCGACCCTTCCCGGCGCCCGGGGACATACTTCCAATTTGGCGCCCCCTCGAGAGAAATTTTCGATTTGCACCCCCCCCCCCCTCGAACTTTTCATTTGCACCCCCCCCCTCAAACTTTCGATTTGCACCCCCCTTGAACTTTTCATTTGCACCCCCCCCCCCTCAAACTTTCAATTTGGCGCCCCCCTAAGGTCGGCGCCCGGGGACATATGTCCCCCCCCCGCCCCCCCCCCCCTCGCTACGCTACTGCTAACATACAACATATACACCATTAGTCATGCTAGATCTAACATACAACATATACACTATTAGTCAAACTAAATCTAACATACAACATATACACCATTAGTCAAACTAGATCTAACATAAAACATATACACCATAGTCATGCTAGATCTAACATACAACATATACACCAGTAGTCATGCTAGATCTAACATACAACATATACACCAGTAGTCATGCTAGATCTAACATACACCATTAGTCAAGCCGAAATAACACAGTACACCAACATTGAAATATTAACCTGTGTCAAATATTTATTATAAACGTTGTTCACAAGTTAAAACCAGACCGCTATTCACGTGAAGTAATAAGCATCCTAGTTGTTTCAGGTATTTCCCTTGCTCTAATCATTGCAAATTTATTTTTTTCTTTAACAATTTACCTTCTACCCTCTATTGAAATGCTATTATTAGTCAATGCGATGTTCAACCCTCCTTACCTTCCTATTACACAAACCACTAAGTGGACGGCACTCTAAAAAAACATTGTATTAATAGGGAGGAGGCTCTTATATATATATATATATATATATATATATATATATATATATATATATATATATATATATATATCGTTATATATCATTTCATGTATCACCACCCCTAACGTTATTGTTACATAACTGTTTTAGTATAACTCCTTCTACCACACGTACATCAAGACATAATTTAGTACCACAAGAACGTTATTTTTTTTAAAAAGTTAGCAACAACAAACATAACTTTGTTATTATCCACAGCATTACGAAACTAAGTGGCAGAGCGTTAGGCTGCTAACCCGAAAGTCTCGAGTTCGAATCCGGGTTCAAGTCTGTAGAACGTCCTTGAGTCCACCCAGCTCTGATAGGTACTTAACTCATGCTGGCTGGGCATAGTACTGACCACAGTTCCCTTCATATGTGTTGACAAGAAACATGAACTCTACTTCATCTGCCTAATGGAACGCTAGATCTTTACTTTTTTCTTTATTACGTAACTCGGTATAACATCATGATGGACCCCCCCGACCTTTCCTGCTATATGTACGACGCATCCACATAGTAATTAGTAATAGCAGGCCTATATTAAACGTACTTACATAAGGATGAAGGAATTAGTCTAGTAAATGAACCTAAGGACTAATTAATTAGTACAGTGTATTCACTTCAGGATGAAGCTAACAAAAGACGCGGCCATTGACTTCACGGTTGAGTGCAAACATCAACAACACACCGAGCTGTTTGTCAACAGACCGGAACGCACGAGCAGACGATAGTTGTGTGTAGGTGACGTCACCTTCTACAGCTGCACACTTTAAAACATTGATTCTTGGGATCAATTCATATTCATTGTCAGGTCAGGCGACAGCAGAATGTAAACACTCGACAGTCGTAATTCAACAAACAAAACTGTGGCTACCTAGGGTATTCTCCAGTCATCATAGCATGCTAAACGGCGTGGCCGCTGAGAGCTAGACTGCTAAGCAGAGAGTCGCGAGTTCGAATCCGGGTTCAAATCAGTGGAACGTCCCTGAGTCCACGCAGCTCTGATGGGTACCTAACTCACGTTAGGGAAACAAAGGCGGCTGGGAATAATGCTTACCACACTATCCCTCCGCCCTCCATACATCATCTGCCCCATGTGTCTTGGGCACAAACGGAATTAAGAAGAGATACGCTTACCATTTTAACTTTTTTCATTTCATTTTTTACTGTCACTCAAAATAAACATTTCATAATTCGGCGATAAAGATTTTAGACATCGACGCCACAAAACATGGCTTCGCCACTGCACGAAAATTCAACTTCTCGCTAGATGTTAAAATCATTCGCTTGGAACCTTTTATTTTCCATCAGTCGAATCAGCGTTTGAAGCTGGTTGCCCGGATGTCTAGACAACACGTGACCAGTCCCGCAGCAACTTGTCCTACAAGTAAAAGTGGCCCAACTTACAAGAAAACAACGGGTAGATCGGACACTCGATAACTTGGCTGTCATACGTCATCTTGATTCTACAGACGTCGGGAAATACATTATGCTAATTAGGTGCACATTTTAAAATAAGTAGGCTATTACATCAGGATTGCTTTAAGAATTTGTCTTAAAGATGGGGGTGGGGTGGAAGGGAGACACTTGAAATTTCTGGGTGAGAGGTGCACTTAAAATTTCCATCCTGCAGAGGGAGAGGGGGGGGGGGGGCTAACTGCCTTTGGCTATTAGTACCCCCCCCCCCCCTCCAACAAATCCTGTATTTATATTTCTGAATGCATATTGTTGGAGTCGTTTCTCGTGTGGTTCACACAACATCCCACACGAACAATCACACAACATCCCACACGAACAATCACACAACATCCCACACTAACAACCACACAACATCTCACACTAACAACATCCCACACTAACAACCACACAACATCCCACACTAACAACCACACAACATCCCACACTAACAACCACACAACATCCCACACTAACAAATCACACAACATCCCACACTAACAACCACACAACATCCCACACTAACAACCACACAACATCCCACACTAACAACCACACAACATCCCACACTAACAACCGCCAACAACAGCAAATTCTAGAAGACGTGAATGAACGTACTGACCTCGAGAGCAGCCGGGATCTAAGAAAATATTCACTCAAGTTACACACAGAAGACTAGGACAGATGGATGTTTAATTAGTGTCCAAAAATACCACAATAAAGGAATTTTATTTGAAAGTGGATGTTAAGCTACTGGTAATAAATAAAAAATTAATAGATAAATATCAAATCTCAATGCCAACCCTATCACAAAAACCATAACCCACATGACCCTAAACCTAAACAAATATTGCAATACTACCAGCAACCTGAGCACATAGCATATTTTTGGAAAATGAAGAACTAAGTCTATGTTTAGAAGACTTGGAAGACTCCACAGAACATAATAACCAGTAAACCAAAACATAGATGTACCATATGAGACATAAAACCAAGTCCCTCCTAGCTCAGGTTATACAAAGTTTTGTCGGCCCAGTTGTCTGGGGATTATGTCAAGTCTGATGCACAAAAAATAGATGTACCATATGAGACATACAACCATAAAATAGGTGTACCATATGGTACATACAACAAAGTCCCTCCCAGTACAGGTTATGCTAAGTTTTGTCGGCCCAGCTGTCAGGGACTGATGTTAAGTACAGTACACAAAAAATATGCTAAACAAAAAATTATGGTGTGAAACCGGTGGGTTGGTTCTTTGCTAAATCAGCTGTTTAGTATCAGTTGCTGCATTAAATACATTTGATTAGCATTTATTCAATGTTTTTACAGAAATGTATGGTATTTGTAAAAATACAAAATGTGGGTCAATACAGGAATATCTGTAGTACATACTAAAAAAAAGTAATACAAAACTGGGAATTATGAAGAAGCCACAAATAAATTACTATTGTATAAAAAAAATTGCAACTGCATTAAATAAAAAATCTTTCAAAAAATTACAAATTGGCAAAATCTATGTTGATTTGTTATATGACACATTTGGAAAAATCTGGCAGCATAAAGCTTAGATTGTAAAGTTTGTAAACAAATAAATATATAACTTAATTTATTTTCAACAAGTAGAATTGCAAAGGAATATATGTAAAAAATAAACATAATCTAGACATAGTAATTAGTCAATCTAAAAACAGTTAACTATAATATGTAGATAATACCCTCTTAGGTTTAAAAACATATCAGAAATAAAATATAAAGGTATAAAAAAAACTGATTAAAACATTATATAAATTATGCATTTAGTAAATCTATATAAACATTGCACTAACCTACAACCCACACAAGTAAGTCTGAGAAGAAATCTCAATAGTATGTAAACATGTTTTTGTCAATTACATGATATGTCTGTCAAAAAATAGTCCCTGAAAAATACAATTAAAAAATTCACATTTTAATTAATGTAGCTTAATGTATGTATTAACAGTAAAAAATAAGCCAGCTTTCCATTTATTAACAATATATTTGATTAAGTCTAATTTTTGTTAATCAAAACATGAAATCATAATACTAGATACATAACAAAGAGATGACACAGAGCAACAGCTATTGTTGTTATCAATAGACTCGTTAGAGAAAGAATAATTACACAAGCATTTCAAACCCAAAAGAAAAATTGTTCAAGTTTAACATAAAAATTATGTAAACATCTAAAACTATCGACAAGAGGTTAACCCAACTTAGCCTTAAAACAACAGTAACCGCTTCTGAGGCTACAAAATAGATATATTTATCTGGACACACCTGGCATCTAATGGGGTACTGTGTGCTTGCAACAGTAACTGCTTCTGAGGCTACAAAACAGATGTATTTATCTGGACACACCTAGCATCTAATGGGGTACAGTGTGCTTGTAAAGTGCTTTCCCTTTATATACATTTATATGCTGCCATGTTAGAATTTCTTTAACTACCTTATTCAGTGGGATGTTAAAAAAATGTAATCTCTAAAGAATACATCAGTATTTTGAGACTATTTTAAAATAATAACTGTGTATGAATTAGTCAATAACATTTGTCAATAAAAAAAAATAGTAGACTGACAAAATATAACATGTATATATTGCATACAAAAATAATGTATCAAAAATATAAACACCGACATGTTTTAGAAAAAATTGCAGCAGCTAATTGGAAGCCACAGCATATTACATAATACTATTATGCACTTAAAAATTCTAACTTCAAATATTTATTACCATGGAGGACGTTAACTTAAACATCCCATATTTTAAAAACCAGCCAAAATAAAATCCTCTCTAAACCATACTCTAACATCACACGTTACTTAATTTTTAGACAAATAGACATGTGTCACTGTTCAATCATAATTTAATACAAAGAATTTATTTCTTAGTTTGATATTAAATATTTCATGCACATAGTTTTACAATAAAATTATCTAAAATAATTATTAAACAATTAATTATCCCAGAAACACAGTTTTACACTAACATTTTTTAAAGCACTTATTGAGCAATGGAAGAATCCCTGTTGTATTATTGCTGTACCAGAGTCAAATGATAAAAACAATTTTAACATGATGTTATTCTATCTGCCACCAACAGCTTTTTATTCACATCAAGCACTACTTGATCACCATTACTTGGGTCTGCTTTTTTGGAAGAAGAGCCACTGGAAAGATAAAAAGTAGAAAAATTTAGAGTTAAACAAACGTAAGTTATAGAATTGTGGACTTAATATAAGACAAATGCCCAAGTTTGAAGGTATGGATATGACTTGAAATGGTTATTGTCATTTATGGTAAGCTGGAAGTAAAAATACCTTTGAATTATCTTTAGCATCATATGCCTAGTTACATCCCTTTATTTGCACCTGGTTACATCCCTTTATTTACCCCGTTACATCCCTTTATTTGCCCCTGGTTCCATCCCTTTCTTTACCCCTGGTTCCATCCCTTTCTTTACCCCTGGTTCCATCCCTTTCTTTACCCCTGGTTCCATCCCTTTATTTACACCTGGTTACATCCCTTTATTTGCCCCTGGTTACATCCCCTTATTTACCCCTGGTTACATCCCTTTATTTACCCCTGGTCACATCCCTTTATTTGCCCCTGGTACCATGACTCACTTAGTGAAAGACTGGGCATCTTGAAGTGTCTCTGGTAACTTTTTGTTGAGAGTCTCTGGCAGCAAACAATTCAGCATGACAGCACAAATAATGAGACAGCCACAGATTAGTAGAGGCAGACTGGTGCCAAGTCCCCCACTTGACTCTACACCCTAGATTAAAACAAAATAGTTTCCCCGTAGAAATTTAATAAACTCATAGACACTTATGGGTGGATTTATTTAAATTTACACCATAATTTTACAGTCAGATTCAACAGATGCTACAACTAAAGAGTTGTCACAAATTTAAAAAGTAAACAAAACCTACCCAAATAAAAAAAAAAAATAGAAACGAAGCATAAAACAAAAGAAAAGTTCCAAGAATAAGAAAATACAAAAATGAAAATCCAACCAGACTACTATATAATCTTGAAAAAAAAACGATTTGGAGCCACTATAAGATTGTAACAGTTTCAATATAAGTAAAACATTTTTAACACTGAAAACCGTTTTAAAAAAGAACAGTGACAAAATATTTTATTATTAAATTATTATTTTAAAACAGTACCTGTGCTGCTATAAATGGGGCCAATATTGTCCCAATCCTCGACCAGGTAGCGCTAATCCCAAGCGCAGAATTCCTGATGACGGTGGGGAAAACTTCAGATGAGTACATAAACAACACACCAAAACATCCAGCAGCACCAAACTTGCCTATCATAGCCAGGGTTGTGGTGATCCATTGATAATCTGGGGGAAGATTTCAAGTTATTTGTTGATAATCTGGGGGAACATTTCAAGTTATTTGTTGATAATCTGGGGGAAGATTTCAAGTTATTTGTTGATAATCTGGGGGAACATTTCAAGTTATTTGTTGATAATCTGGGGGAACATTTCAAGTTATTTGTTGATAATCTGGGGGAACATTTCAAGTTATTTGTTGATAATCTGGGGGAACATTTCAAGTTATTTGTTGATAATCTGGGGGAACATTTCAAGTTATTTGTTGATAATCTGGGGGAACATTTTAAGTTATTTGTTGATAATCTGGGGGAACATTTCAAGTTATTTGTTGATAATCTGGGGGAACATTTCAAGTTATTTGTTGATAATCTGGGGGAACATTACAAGTTATTTGTTGATAATCTGGGGGAACATTTCAAGTTATTTGTTGATAATCTGGGGGAAGATTTCAAGTTATTTGTTGATAATCTGAAGGAACATTTCAAGTTATTTGTTGATAATCTGGGGGAACATTTCAAGTTATTTGTTGATAATCTGAGGGAAGGTTTCAAGTTATTTGTTGATAATCTGGGGGAACATTTCAAGTTATTTGTTGATAATCTGGGGGAACATTTCAAGTTATTTGTTGATAATCTGGGGGAACATTTCAAGTTATTTGTTGATAATCTGGGGGAACATTTCAAGTTATTTGTTGATAATCTGAAGGAACATTTCAAGTTATTTGTTGATAATCTGGGGGAACATTTCAAGTTATTTGTTGATAATCTGAGGGAAGATTTCAAGTTATTTGTTGATAATCTGGGGGAACATTTCAAGTTATTTGTTGATAATCTGGGGGAACATTTCAAGTTATTTGTTGATAATCTGGGGGAACATTTCAAGTTATTTGTTGATAATCTGGGGGAACATTTCAAGTTATTTGTTGATAATCTGAGGGAACATTTCAAGTTATTTGTTGATAATCTGGGGGAACATTTCAAGTTATTTGTTGATAATCTGGGGGAACATTACAAGTTATTTGTTGATAATCTGGGGGAACATTTCAAGTTATTTGTTGATAATCTGGGGGAAGATTTCAAGTTATTTGTTGATAATCTGAAGGAACATTTCAAGTTATTTGTTGATAATCTGGGGGAACATTTCAAGTTATTTGTTGATAATCTGAGGGAAGGTTTCAAGTTATTTGTTGATAATCTGGGGGAACATTTCAAGTTATTTGTTGATAATCTGGGGGAACATTTCAAGTTATTTGTTGATAATCTGGGGGAACATTTCAAGTTATTTGTTGATAATCTGGGGGAACATTTCAAGTTATTTGTTGATAATCTGAAGGAACATTTCAAGTTATTTGTTGATAATCTGGGGGAACATTTCAAGTTATTTGTTGATAATCTGAGGGAAGATTTCAAGTTATTTGTTGATAATCTGGGGGAACATTTCAAGTTATTTGTTGATAATCTGGGGGAACATTTCAAGTTATTTGTTGATAATCTGGGGGAACATTTCAAGTTATTTGTTGATAATCTGGGGGAACATTTCAAGTTATTTGTTGATAATCTGAGGGAACATTTCAAGTTATTTGTTGATAATCTGAGGGAAGATTTCAAGTTATTTGTTGATAATCTGGGGGAAGAATTCAAGTGAAAACAGTGTAACAATTTACAACCCTTTTTTGTTAATTTGTTAATTAACCACCATTCCCTTAGCTTTAAGATTTAATCCCCCTTCTGCTAATATTAAAAAAAACAGTACAAGGCATTTGTTGAAGTTGAATGAAATATTATTTTTTTAACCCTTTGAGCCCTGGCCTCCCTGGCCTAATTTCTCCCATGTCCTGAGCTCCCAGGGCCAAACCAATTTTCACTTATCTGCTCCTAACTTTGCCTATAACTTTTGAACCGTTTGAGATAATCAAGCCAAATTTGGTATCCAGACTCAGGATCAAACAACAATGCAGCAAGATTCTGAAATTCTTCATTTTTTTTACAATGTATGAACAGAACAATGTATATAAAACGAACACATAATTATTGTTTTGATAGAACATAGAAGAAACCAATTTACATTTAGTAATTGTTTTGTTATTATTGATACCTGGCCATACTAGTTCAACGCCAGAAGTCCACTTTTGTGTGATAACTTTCAAAACAGTTATCACTGCCGGACCCGATGCAAAGAAAAACTTCGCATGTTTTGCACCAGTAAACAGTTTTTTTTCGCTTCGTCAAGTCTTTGTCTTTGGCATCACGTGCATCAGAACGTACTTGAACAGTTTCATTGTCACTGTCAATTTTATGTCACTGTGTTCAGTCTCAAATTCAATATAGACCAGGAATATTATCTTCTTCATCAGATTCAATAAGTAGTTGTATTGCCTGAGATGCAGTCATTCTACTTCTTTTGTTGATATTTCGGTCTTTTGCTTCATCTTTTGCACCAACTTTATGTGCTGAAGTCGATGGCTGTGGCTCAGCTTTTCGTTTTGGCGGCATTGCTACGAAATGTAAACACTTTCACTTTCTAAAATCTACTTTTAGAATCATAATCCCGCACTCCCGCACTAAAAAGACATATGCGCAGTTTTAGTCAGTCTTCCGCTAATTATATTTAATAAGACGTCATACCGGCCGCTAGGAATAAGACGCTAGATCATCGGGCCGGAAAACCGGCTTTTCGGACATATATGCCTAATGTTGAAGCCGGTTTACCGGCCTGGCGGGCTCAAAGGGTTAAATAAACAATATTTCTCTATGAATAAAGATATACTTTGTTCAGTCAACCATGTCATTAAAATATAATCTGTATCTCCTTCCTAGGAATATAGAGTTCATATTATAATTTATACATGACTTGCAGTTTTTTTCTGTGCTGTCTCAATGACATTTGGAGGTGGCTACTTAGTGTTTTTTAATTATGTTGAGAACTCTAAACAATGTAACCCTACAGTGTGCATCCCTAATGCCTTGCGCATGTGACAACAATTATGAGTAGCTTGTAATTTCTTATTTATCTGTAGTTTTCTCTTCTTCAATTTAATTATTTTGTTGAATACATCATAAACCCATACTAAAACAAGCCGGTTTATGACAAATCAGGTTGCACCCACAAACAAGTGAGATGACACAGTTGTAACTCAGCAACACATGTGACCTACCAGCAGAGACAAAGACAGTTGTGACAACACAGCTGAGACAGGCCACACCACTGGTGGACAGCATTAGACAGTGGACAACTTTACGACCCAGCCTGGGGAGACAAGACATAGATTTAGAAATGTGTTAATAGGTTACAGGTAGAAGAAACTAAAACAGTAAAGCATTTTGTATGGACAATTGTTGTTTGATACATTAAAAAAATCAGTTGCTATTGTAACACAGCATTGTAAAAGCTTAAATAATTTAAGCATGAAGTGTTTCATCATGTTATTTCAAAAGTTCTGGATATAGCTTTACATTTTTTTAAAGTTGTGTATGTAGCTACCACTACATGTAAAAAAAGGTGTGTATAAAGCTACCACTACATGTAAAAAGGTTGTGTATGTAGCTACCACTACAGGCAAAAAGGTTGTGTATGTAGCTACCACTACAGGCAAAAAAGTTGTGTATGTAGCTTCCACTACATGTAAAAAAGTTGTGTATGTAGCCTACCTGTCAACAGTGAACAACGTGAAGAGGTGGGCTGGGAACTCCACCAGGCCAGCCAGGAACAGGTTGAGAAAGATGGAGCCTGTCCCCAGGTTCCTGGTGTTGAAGTTCAGGCCATAGAAGGTCAAGCTGATCACAAACCTGAAGGTCAAGGACAAATAAATTAAAGCATTTCCCAAACCTGAAAGTCATGAAGAAAGTCATAATAAAAGCTGAATGTCAGGGAAAAGCGACATTTCTTTCAGGCACATCTCTCGGAGGGTCACCATCCACCACCTACACATGAAATAAACATATATATATATATATATATATATATATATATATATATATATATATATATATATATATATATATATATATATATATATATATAATATATATACATATATATATATATATATATATATATATATATATATAGAAAATATATACTTTAACCATTCTCCATCCCATAGAAGTTTCAAGTGCAATCACCCTGTGAAAAATGTCTGAAAAAAACCCTCAGGAATAGCCTGATCATTATCATAAAGCCAGAAGATCAAGCTTATCACAAGTCTAAAGTTCAGTCCAACCAGAGCCTTAACAATAAGGAAAATGATCACAACAAATATGAGAATGATCTTGACTCCATCAAAAGACCAGTGTCCTAAATTGAATGTTATGGACATGTTGGGCGATCATGTCCTCTACCTCACCTTGATCCTATGTTTAATGTCTGTCTCTATTTTATGTAACAGTATTACACTTACAATAACATTTAAAAAAATAAAGAAAAAAAAATTTCAGACTTACCAATTAAAGAAAATAATAATTGATCTTGTAAATAAAACTCTACTTTTGAAAAGGTCAGTTAAACGACCCTTGGAGTTTTCATTACTTTTATCCTTAACATTCCCTCCATTATCAACAGTGTCTTTAGCAAGCATGAACTCTTTTTCACAATCTTTGTGGGGTAAAATGGCATTCAATACAGAGTCTGGCACTTCTTTCTTGTTTACTCTGGCTGCTTTTAACACTGTCTTGCGAGCTTTAGAGTAGTGTCCCTTTTGGATCTGCCATCTTGGTGATTCAGGTATAAAGCTAGATAATAAATTTAAACAAGTTTTAAGGTTTTTTTCTTAAACAGAGTTTAATAAAATCATAAAATCATGTTGTCTATGCCTTGGTAACAGAAACTGGTGTAGTCTACTTCATCTACCTAAAGTAACAAGATGTAAGTATAACAACTAATCAATGCAAATAAACAAACAAGATAATTTAACCAAATATTCTATAAAAATTGTCCCATTACAACAATTAGCTAAAATTTTCTAAAATCTTCCATCAGTTTTACATTATCTTTATCAGATCAATTTTGTTTTAAAAGCAACTACTACAAAAATGTAGGATTTTTATGAGATAGGCAAGTTTTACTATACACATTTTTAAAAATTATTTTGAGGTATGAAATTGAAATAAATTGAAATAAATTGAAATAAATCACTAACTTTCATACAAAAAATGTTTTAAAGTAGTATTCTTGTCGAACTCACCACCACATGAAATAAAAGATGATAAGAGGTGCTGTGATAGCCACCAGCAGATACTGCCAGTCCCTGATCAAGAAAGCTAGACCAGCCAGGGAGACAACTCCAGTGGAGAAGGCCAACTGAGTTATCATCCCTGCATTTGTTCTTTTAGATAACCCAACTAGCTCAATACCTGAAACACGAAAAAAAAAAATAACCTTAATAAAAATCTGTGAACAAAACAATAGCCTAAAATGAACTTATGTTTCTTTAACCCCAGGAACATGCATTTTTATCAATACTTTAAGTATTGAAGGATAACATAACAAAATTAAAAAAAAAAAAACTAAAAAATTCACTTACAAGTAAAAACTTATTTTACAAGTTATTATGAATAAATCTTTGGGTTTTAGTCTTTTAGAGAAACTAAGCCTTGACTTATAAGTTACCTATAACACAAGAAAACATAAACAGGCCTACCTATCACATAGGCAGATGGATAAATCCCTTGTGTGGCCAGGCCTACAAAGAAATTTAGGATTGTGAATGTTATAAAACTGTTACTAAAAATGAGGCCAGTCCCCATGATGGTAACAAGCGTCAGAGAGACGTACAAGCAGACCTTGCGGCCCAGACTGTTGAACAAAAATAATTATATTAAATAATAAGACGTCTGAATAATGTATGTAAACACGGGAGATTAACTATTCTGATCACTTTTTAAAATTTGAATTGTTATCTGATTGTACTTAATATTCAGAATTGTTTGTGTTTTAGCAGAGCTCATTAAATGGCATAGAATCAAGAAGGTAAAATAAGAAATTTATAAAGGAAGAAGAGACATCCATGCTGAAAAAGGAGGATACATAACTAAGGGGAAATCACAACAAAAATAATATATATAAAGATAGAAAACCAAAGGCAAGTTATAAAAAAAGTATCAAGAGAAAGAAATAAAACTAGTTAGAATGTTTGATGAAAGAAAAAATTTCATCTTTACTTACATGTCTGATGCTGTGCCCAGTACAAATGTGCCAGCTAGGAATCCACTATAGAATATCATTGTGGTCAAAGAGGTTTGAGGAGAGTCATCACATACAAGGTTGAACTGTAGAGTTAAGAGGGATTTAATTCATAACAACATTTTAAATTTCTGTTAGACTGTTAAATGTTAAAAATGTTAAATGAAGAGATGGTTGTAATATGGTAACCCCAATGTCTCTAGTTACGGAGGTTGAGTTTGGATAAGGTCAAAATAATTCACCTAAAGTTATCTAAATAGTAAGTATCAATGCTGGACCTATTTATAGAGAACTATTCGCCTTATAGCTCATCATTATGTCCCTAACAAATACAGTACATGAATTTATGTAGTTGATAAATGATCTGTTGGATTTGTGTGAATTAGACCACACAAAACAATTTCCATCTTTTTATCTACATGTGGTTCCTCTGCATTATATTTTAACAGCATCATTTGTTACAATACAATTATCTAAAGACAGTCATCTAGCGAAGTACACATCTAGAGTTTCATTGTATTATCTTAGTTATATTACTACAGGATGCTGAATGAACAATATGTATCCCTATTAATTTTTATACATTTTTTTACGCCCATGATTATGTCATAATATAACAACTGACCTGACTAGCAACTGTAGAAAAAAACACTGACTGGTCATAGACCCATTTGCTACATTTAATTCTGGTAGCATTAACAGGCTGATTATGATCATCGTATGTGTAGTTATCAGGTAAATACACAAAACACGAGTCACTATCACTAAGTGGCATCGACATGTTCAAGACAGCCTGATGATCAACCGATGTCACGTCAAAGGTGTCATTTTGATAGCCGGGGATTTCACACCTGAAATAAATATTAAAATATTGAATGATAAAATATAATAATATAAAAAAAAATTTATGAGTGATGTATCCATCCAATTTAATAAAAGTTAGATATAAAATAATTATTTATGTATGAAAATTGGAACAATCGCAGTGCCCAATATTATAATAGGCAACAATCAGAAAACAAGCATTTTAATCAAGCTATAAAAACTAATGTGTTGTTTAAGTAAATTTTAACCCACACCTGTGTTTGGGAATATAAAGCAAAAACACCATCACCACCATCCTCATACCATGAAAGACACTGAACAAGCAGAGTAAAAAGTAAACCCTCTTCTGGTAAAGTCCACATGCTCCAATGTAGTGAAGAATGTCATCAAAACTCATGTTGCTAGAACCTGAGGAAAATATGTTGACATTCACACTAAAGACATGTAATATGTAACAATAGGCTTTACTGTATGCCATAGGCCTTAGCCCTGCTATGGGCCTATATAGGCTATTATCACAACAATAATAAGTTAGAAGCATATGGTTTATAAAGACCTACATAACCTAAATAAATGCTCAGACAACTAAATCTATTTTTATAGGACGTTGCTACTTAGTACAGTAACTTGTCTATTTATCTAATATCTAGATCTACTATAGAATTTTTATTAGATCTATAATGATTAGGGGCCTATAAATAATGAGCTACTTGCTTTACTTGATGATAACCTGAAGTTGCTCTTCTAGTAGTAGATCTAGGACTGTACTAGATCTACTTACAAAACAAGACTTAGTTAGACTATCAAATATGTATACTAGATCTAGATCTCTAAAGAATACTAAAGATCTAGATTTATCTACTATCTATCTAAATGTAATGACATGTAGATCTAGATCTAGATTCTAGATCTATTATGAGATCTAGATTCTAGAGTAGAGATTTACTACTAAATTACTACAGACTACTCACTGACTACTGGACTGGGTTGTGGCCTTTGAGTGTGAGGTCATTTTTAACTTCTTTAGTTTATACTATACTTTATTCTTTTATTTTATTTAGAAAAGTCATGTTAAGAGAAAAGTACTAGATCTAGATCTAGTATCTTCCAGATTTTTTTCTTGGGGGGGGGGGGGGGGGGGAATCCTATCTTGTTCGGGGTGTGGGGGGGGGGGGGGACCGACCCCGAAGAGATGCCTGGAAGAAACTCTGGCGGTTAATAAATTAATAACTAACATAGATCTAGATCTTAGTTAGTAATAGTACTATTACTAACTAAGATCTAGATCTATGTTAGTTTTAAATTGTCAAGCATAAAAAAATCAAGACACAGATCTAGACTAGATCTAAGTTTTACCTTTCCTTTAACTTTAGTTGTTACTGTTACTAGAATCTAGATCTATTATATTATAACTCGGTAGAAGAACCGGTTTCTTTTTTGCCTTTTATATTTTACGAATAGCGGGTTTTATTGATATGAAGGTCATATTATGCCGGTGAAGGCCCGCTAAACTTAGTAAAATTATTATTTCGTCTTTTTACTGTATAATTTTAATAATAGACTAGAGATAAGCTTCAATATTATTAGCAATATTAGCCCCCTATTCAATTAAACCCATATAAAATAAAATTTCGAATTGATTTGTCTATTATAGTTTAGTAACATACAAGGATTAAAAGATGGTTCTGCGCATGCGCAGTGACCTATGGCTAGGGTTAGAATGAGGGTTAGGGGTAGGATTAGGGATAGGGTTAGGATTAGGGCTAGGGTTAGGGTTAAGGATAGGATAGGATTAGGGTTGGTATTAGGGTTCTGCGGTTGTAAACACACGCATGCGCAGTACCATCGAAAACATCGCCGCTAAGTCGTAGTTTCTCTCCATTGCGCATGCGTATCGCATGCGTATCTTATTCCGACTAGAATCGGCCAAAGGAAATATCAATTACACTGTTGATGGTTTTTTTTTTACCAAACAATGTTTTGAGAACTTGTAGGCCAATTACTCACTTTGGATCTAGATTCTACTTCTATTTCTATCTAAACTCTTCCCTAGTCTAGATTATAACTAGCCTATATTGTATTGTCTAAGTGACTTCATGAGTATAACACCTGAAAACTGAACCCCTTACCATTTACAAAACCCCATTCTCACACCATTGTACACAAAAAAGATTGCAAATCAAATCATGAAATATCTTTAATTAGGAAATAAATAACATTACACAATGTATTGTAGAGTGAGATCATTTACCCTGTCCAACATTTAAGACAAGTGAACCTAAACAGAACTCACACCATCTTTACACTAAACTCAAACAGATCTAGATAAATAGCAAAGACACGAAATATCAACCTTAAATTTCACACATGAGGTACTATAGTAACTATATGTTATAACATAAAAAGTCATTTACAGTTTTAAAAAATAAATTTTTATAATAAGCTCATTCATTTTTTAGTAAAATGTCATGAAATTCCAAGGTAAACAGTGAATTTTTCCTCATGAGCAAACAACAGCTTTGGCAAAACCTGCATGCTGTATAATCATATCAATTTAATCCTGGGTTTTTGTGTGAACATAAAAATGATAGATTCTACATTTTTAACAATATTGGCTACTTTTAAAATGGAATGGGGTGATTAAAAACAAAAACAAATCTCGTACTAAGCCCACATATTTCATCACTCAATATATTAGGCTACATAGTGAATCTACAATTTAATGCCATCATCATATTTTGCCTATCTCTCTCTACACCAAGTCACTAGATCCATATTTACACATGACATGAAGCAGATACTATAATGAATAATTAATATCAATAATAAAGAAGCTCAAATCAAAATATCAAGTATTTTATAGCTAATACCCTTTCATTTATCATGAATAATTTCTTACAATTTTAGGATTTGCATAAAACATATAGATCTATCTCAAATCCCTGAGTATTTTTTAATATGATAGATTTCAGTATTGCAAAAAGCACTCTCAATGAATGAGCTACTACTTCATTATGATTGGTTAATATAATGCTCAAGCAATTCTATAGTAGTGAACTACTAACTCATATTTAAGAAGGTATAAAAAAGTACAGCAAGTCCATTTTCAAAATGGCAGATTAATCTGTACTTAATCATTCTTGATAAAAATCTTTAAAGGTCATCTTAGCTATGGCACATTAATGGGCTGCTTTAATCAGATTAATGTAAGTCAAGTACTCGTTTAAACCTCACGGTCCATGGGGTAGGTTAAGTAGAGTTCAATTGTGACCTCAGTATATGAAGGGATAGTGTGGTCAGCACTATGCTCAGCCACCTTTACTTTTGTAACAGGTCAAGTTGGCCTAGCTAAGAGAGCTGGGTGGACATCCTGTGAAGTCTAGTCAGGGTATCTGAACTTAAGGCTTTCAGTCTAGCACTCATACACTCTATCATTCGGCCATGACATCTCTTAATTGATGCACTACAAATCAATGTCTCAAAGTTATATGAAGAAATAGTGTGGTCAGTTCTTTGCCCAGCTGGTTTTACTTTCCCTAACTCAAGAAAGATAACCATCAAAGCTGACTCAAATCCAGTATTTGTACTTTTAGTTTAGCAGTTACGTGCATTGCTGCTTGGCAATGGTCCAATAGACTAACATATACAAAGTCAGATTAATGTACTACTAAAGTATTCTTCATTATGGGAGATTACTAAGAAGCTGAAGTCATTATTTAAGAGAAGTTGACTGAAGCAAACTGTCTTGTGTTGCCACTTATATTATAGACTAATCTTGTCTTGGTCCAACCTGTTCACAGTTATGCCCCTTTCATCAGATCTGTTATATTGAAAGTGTGGATCATCCTAGGTAATAAATATTGCTCAATTATTTCATAAACATACAAATCATATTTTTTTTTGTTAAAAAAAAGTATTGCTATATTAATTCATAAACATACAAACTACCTTTAAAAAAATATAAAAATATTGCCAGTTAAGATAACTTTTGTTTATGCAATGTAAGAAAACTATAAATTAATACCTGTAAACATTGGATTTAACAGCAGTTCTCTATAGCCAAGCTTGTTTCTGAATTGTCAGTATCTGTATTGACCTTGGTCAACAAACTATTTTCCTTAACAATTCTGTGAAAATAGTGGTTATATACTTTATTACTACAATATTTCAGGTGTAAACATAAGATAATCATTAGCTATGCCCCCTTTCAAACCTGCAGATTCTATAGGTAAATGATTATTAGATTTGGAGCCAGGTACTCATCAGAGCTGAGGAGACTCAGGTAAAGACAGCTATGCAGAGGTCAAGAAACATCTACCCAATAGATTGCACCGTCTTAAGAGGAACTCTACTTTAAAAAAAAATTTGGAAAGCTCATGGACATTTTAACTCAATTATTGTGTATTTTAGAGATAATTTATTCTGAAGTTAATAGAAAGCTAGCATCAACACAGCCTACTTATAACAAAAGCTAACATTAAGGTGGCCTACTTTGTGAAATTCTTGGCGTCATTGACGGTCTCTGGAAGTTTCCTCCCCCACGTCTCAGGGAGGAAGCAGGACAGCATGCCAGCGCAGATGACCAGACACCCACAGACCAGCAGGGGGACACTTCTGCCCAGCTCCCCTTCTGCCTTTGCTCCCTGAAAAATGTTTGAAATTTTACTTTAGACTGCTGATAACTTTTAGTATCTGTCATCATCAATATCATCATAAATATCATCAATTATTAGACTGTCACCCTGGTCTCACATCCAGAGTTTCTTCCAGGCATCTCTTTAGGGGGGCCCCTGAAAATTTTTTGCCCCCCCCCGAACGAAATGAAATTTATATAATTTATATAGAACATATATACTTTTAGCAGTGTCCACCCCCGAAGAAAGTCTAACCGTCCCCCGAAAATTTTAAGTGCCCCCCCCCCCCCGGAGAAAAAAGTCTGGAAGAAACACTGCTCACATCCTTGCCCAGACTGGATATTTAGAGCCTTTTGCTACAGTTATTAACCTCAGTTGTATATGCAATAACTAAAGCATGATTTTGTAACCTGTCTAATTCATTTATAAATTTAGTGATATTATTATTTAAAGGATTGATCAGTTGTGTACTTGTATAACAGAACATAGTAGGGGTACCATAGGCCTCAAGCTCCAGTTTCTTTAAGAATACGATTTATAATGTCTTAATTAAGATATTGTTTCTATGAAAACTTTGAAAAATTGAGTTTTAAAAATGTAACTATCAAATTGTGGTTTGTTAAAACATTGTATGAAAATTAATTGAGGACAGACAAATATATTCACAAAAACTCATGAAAAAATATAAAATATGTGTATCGTTACCATGGCAGCAACATAGGGAGCAAACATGGCACCCACTCTACCCCAGCTGGAGCTCATCCCCAGGGCAGAGTTTCTAATGACGGTGGGGAAGATCTCGGAGGAGTACATGTACACAGTGGAGAAGGCTCCGGAAGCTCCAAACTTTCCAATCATGGCCAAGGTTATTGTTATCCAAGGGTAGTCTGCAGAGGAAATTTGGGTTTATCAAGAGAATTGGTTAACTACATCTTGTGATGTTATTTACATAAAATGATAAACTTATGTTTCATAGCACTTGATGTTTGGTGAATTTGTGGTAAAACTTACCAGATGCAAATATGATTGAAAAAACACAGCCTAAGCAAGCAACACCACTTGATATCAACATGCCAAAATGTACAGCTTTTCTGCCAAATCTGATGAGAGATTTATTTATCAAGATTAATGTGTAGCATAGGCCTAAATATTTCCTCTTAGTACAACTGGTACTTTTGTTTAAAAAATTCATTAGATTTATAAAAAAAATTTTTTGTAAATGCGTAAATAGAATTAATTCTAATAATTTTCTTCTAATTTTGTCAACACAAGGGCAATAACCCACCTGTCTACTGTGAACATTGGTAAAAGATAAGCTGGGAACTCTACAAGTCCTGATATAAAGAAGTTGAGGAACATGGAAGCACCCACAAGATTTCCAATGTTAAAATTTAATCCATAGAATGTCATGCTGATCACAAACCTGAAATGTTATTTCAACTAAGTATTTGTTTGTCCAATGTAACATTAAAAATTTATGTACACAATATTTCAAAGAAAAACACAAAAAAATAATATGAAGATCAAGTTTTTTAAAAAAATAAACAGTAATTTAAAATTCCATGAACTGTTTTAGATAAATTGTAGGCAAAACAGAAACAAAATGATATGGATATTTAATATGCAGCAGGCCAATGGTAGGCTATTTTAGTGGTAAGTGATTTAAGAGTAATTAATTATAGAATTCTTCATCCCTCACTACGAAACTAGTTAGACTAAATTAATTGTAAAAAAAGCAACTTACCAGTTAAAAAAGATAATGCTTGTCCTAACAAACAACACAGGACTTTTGAAAACATCAATCAGTCGACCTTTTTCTTTGACTTCTGCTGCCTTCTTCTCTCTTTCTCTCTCATTCTTCTCCAGGTCATACAAGGCTATACTCTCCTCATCCTCGTCAACTGGCATGACGGCATCTAAAATCTCGCTGGGAACTTCCTTTTTGTTTACTTTGGCTGCTTGAAGCACCGTCTGGCGTGCTTTCTCATAGCGTCCTTTTTGGATCTGCCATCTGGGGGATTCTGGGATTAGGCTAATAACAAAAATTCCAAGTGTAAAATATGTATAGATGTACTTATATGTACTTATACAAATATTTATGGTAAATAACTATAGTCAGCACATTCTTATATATATATATATATATATATATATATATATATATATATATATATATATATATATATATATATATATATATATATATATATATATATATATATATATATATATATATATATATATATATATATATATATATATATATGTGTTACATTTAAATGTGTGTTACAATTAAATGAATTATACTGTCATCCTAACCGAAATACGCCAAAATAAAATTTAGACTACATGATGTATTTTTGTACCTCTTATACTTATGACTTATACTACTTATAGCAAAAAAAAAAAAAGCTTTTATCAGATATTCTTTCTTCTTCTTCGTTCTTAATTATTAGTGTTGAAGGGGATCGAGATTTATCTGCCAGTGGGTTTGAACTCCAGACTTTGTTCGAATTTATCAACCATGAGTTTTTTGCCGACTCGACCATGCCTCCAACACAATTAAGCGTTACGTGTCAACTGGTTATGCGCCATTGAGGCCATTGACTCCGATTTCAGCCTGCTTTTTTTTTGGATTTGCTTCCATAGCCTTTGTTCAACCAAGAACAAACTACAAGGCAGCAGTTGTTTGATTTTGGAGTTGTCTCTCATAGAAGAGTGGCTGTCCCCAGCTAACGAGCCTCATCTGCCTGAGGGTTCGAACTCGAGACTTTTCGGTTTAGCAACCATGAGCTTTACCGACTCGACCATGCCGACCCCTTTTATCAGATAAACATAATGTTTATGAAACATCAACTTACCACCACATGAGGTAGAAGAGAACGAGGGGAGCTGTAATGGCAACCAGGAGATAATGCCAGTCTCTGATCAGAAAGGCCAACCCGGATAAGATGACAACCCCAGTGGAGAAGAATAGCTGGATGATGGAGGCGGTGTAGGTCCTTTTAGCTGGTGCAACCAGTTCAATGCCTGGACAAAACATCATGTTTAGACATGTTTGTTTAGGATTCCGTAATGAGTTTTGCTTGTATGCATATCATGCATCATATAAATATAATAATATCCTAGTATTTTTTTTAAAGCAAAAATATCTTAATAGTATTATCTAGACCTAGACTATTTTCTTTTATTTACTCTTAGTTGGTAAATTTTAACAAAACTATGATTATGAACTAGATCTAGATCTAGATCTACTAATCTAGATCTAGTCTAGATCTAGACACCTAGATCTAGATCTAGATCTAGGTATTTTTAATGATTCAAAAATTATTTTGTTTTTCGTTGTTTTTTTAAATCACGAACAAGTTATTTAATTAATATTATTTTAAAATAAACTTAATATTAATAATCAAATGCATCATTTTAAAATAATGAATTAGATCTAGATCTAGATTCTATATTTACTTACGACATCTAATTCTCAAATAACAAGCGTTCGCTAGTTTGTAACGTTTTAAAAAAAGAAACTTACCGATAACGAAAGCAGACGGGAACATGCCAGGGACTGCTGCCCCCAGAAAAAAGTTGACCACTGTAAAGGCTATAAAACTTTTGGTGAAAACGAGGCCGGTGCCGAATATTACCACCAGAGTAAGAGAGAGATACAAGCAGATCTTCCGGCCAAAACTGAAATCAGTCAGATATTTACATTCTCATTAATTAAAACCATTAATTCAAACATAAGGATTAGCTAACTTTCCCCCAACATTTAAAGGGTTTTCCCCTTCGATTGTCGGCACTACCAGCTCATTGATGGCGGTACCGATAATGAAGGCTAATAACGAGTATCGAGTTATCTTACTAATCTGAGATTGTTCCCAAAAGAAAAGTGCCGATCAGAAATCCGCCGTAAAACACCATGGCTGCGTGAGATCTTTTGGTGGAATCATCACAAACCAGATCCAGCTGAGGAATAATGAGATAAAAACAACGGTAATATTGACATGAGTGGAGGTTCGTTGTAGTTCATGGGAGACCAGTGTTTCTTCCAGACTTATTTCTTCCGGGGAGGGGGGGGGGGGCACTTGAAATTTTCGGGGGGGGGGGGGCGGTAGACTTTCTTCAGGGGGGCGGACACTGTTAAAAGTATATATTTTCTATATAAATTATATAAATTTCATTTCGTTCGGGGGGGGGGGGGGGGGGCGGCGGTAAATTTTTTTCCAGATGCCTGGAAGAAACTCTGTGGGAGACATGCATAATTGAAATTCATTTTCACATACAAATTCTATAGAAAGCTGGTATATGCGTTTTTATTGCAACATGTGAAGTTAAAACATGTGAATATACAGACACATAAACACACACACACATATATATATATATATATATATATATATATATATATATATATATATATATATATATATATATATGTGTGTGTGTGTTTGTGTGTGTGTGTGTGTATAATATGAGGCTCTGGATTGAAATATTGATGGATATAGATAACAACCTGAGGCTAGTCTGGAAAATGCCCCTCCCTCGAATAGGTCCTGCTTTCTATAAACATAATATCATATCTATGAATTGCTAGCTACTCCGCTGCATGGAAGTACAATGATTTTAAGCAGCAGAATCTCTGATCTAAGGGATAAAATCAGTTTTAAATGGGTTGCACAAGTGGCTCTAGTACCTGGCCAGTCACCGTTGACACAAACACGGACTCGTCGTAGACCCAGCGCGTGCACTTCTCGAGGCTGGCGTTGATTGGCCGGTTGTCAGCGTCGTATGTGTAGTTGCCAGGTTGGTATATGTGGCACGAGTCACCAGAGGGAATGGAACTGTTGACCGCCATTAGGTGCTCTAGTGACGTCACATCAAACGTGTCGTTCAAATAGCCAGGAATAGCACACCTGTTCAAAAGTTAGGAACTTTTAGATATCTAAATACATAATAAAGCAGATACGTATATATATATATACTAGCTGCATCCCGTGCTCCGCCACGGTAAATCTTTTTTAAATGTACCAACTGGGGAACAGAACAAAACTAAACACAACACAAACGAACGAAAAAAAAAACACGAAAGAAAAAACAAACACAACACTCATAACATAAAATCCCCCCTCAAACTTTCGATTTGCACCCTCCCACCGCCCTCAAACTTCCGATTTCCACCACCCCCAACCCCGCACATTTTTTTCAACCCACTTTGGCGCCCCCTTAGGTCGGCAACCGGGGACATATGTTCCCCCCCCCCCTCTCTCTACGCCTCTCCTATAAAACCCCCAGCAGTATTTAAAATATCCGTGTTTTACCTACCATATTATATCACTTTATCAATTCACGCATTTTTTTCCCAGTACTTTAAATTTTAAAAATTTACAATAGAGTTTCATAACTAAAACCATTTCGCACCAAATGAACGTGATGACGCGTCTATAATAGTGCTTAATAGTTGATTAAAAATTATAAGTAGTAAACATTACATTCAGTGAATAAAATAAATAAAAAATAGCCTTTTATCAATCAATGCTAATTATAATATTCCAAAAATAATGTACTCTTACACGTCTGCATAATTTGCATTCACATTTTGCTAATTATATTATTCCAACAATTATTCCTTCTTGCAGATTCTGCATTCACATTTTTAGCGTGAGTTCAATTTATTTTTAAAATACCTCCCTTGGCAAAATTACTAAACAGTTTAATTAGATTTTTCTAACCTACAGTTATTATGTTATAAAAATGTATCCACTTTTTCTAGGAATATTAACGAAAACAATATTTGACATTGATCCTTTTAATATGTTTTAGCAATGTGCGTGTATTTAATATTCTCTTTACGTTATGCAAAATTGTACAAACAGTGGAAATTATAAAATAGCTCTATGTCGTTATATAAACAGACCCTACTCCAATACTTATAATAAGACAATGCGATGCACTGCAAAGCACTAATTGGTGCGATGTTTACTTTTATGGTTCCAAAATCTATAGCGATGACGGACGGAAGGAAGGACAGACACAGCCCGCTTATATTATAGACTAGCTGCATCCCGTGCTCCGCCACGGTAAATCTTTTTAAAATATACCAACTTTGGAACAGAACAAAACAAACAAAAACACAACACAAACACAAACAAAACACAACCACAACACAACCACATTACAACCACATTACAACCACAACACAACCACAACACAACCACAACACAACCACAACACAACCACAACACAACCACAACCACAACACACGGTAAATCTTTTTTAAATGTACCAAGTTGGGAACAGAACAAAACTAAATACAACACAAACGAACGCAAAGAAAAAAACAAAAACGAAAAAACAAACACAACACTCAACATAAACTCAATTTAAATGTAATCATAAAGGCATATTGCTCACAGTCTATCCCGTAGCGCCAAATCGCGCCCTTTCCGATCGCCGGCGGAAAATTTCGATTTACACCCTCCCACCTCCCTCAAACTTCGATTTCCACCCTCCCCCCCCCCCTCTTGCTACGCCTCTGTTATAAAACCCCTAGCTTTTCCGCAATTAAATTAAAGGCAGTATTTAGAATATCCGTGTTTTACCGACCATATTGCACTTTATAAATTCATGCATTTTTTTCAGTACTTTTAAAAATTTACAATAAAGTTTCATGACTAAAACCATTGCGCACCTAATGAACGTGATGACTTAATATAGTAATGGAGAATAGTTGATTAAAAATTATAATTAGTAAACAGTACATTCAGTGAATAAAATAAATAAAAGATAGCCTTTTATCAATCAATGCTAATAATAATATTCCAACAATAATGTACTCTTACACGTCAGCATAATTTGCATTCACATTTTGCTAATTATATTATTCCAACAATTATTCCGTCTTGCAGATTTTTGCATTCACATTTTTAGCGTGAGTTCAATTTATCTTTGAATTACCTCCATTGGCAAAATTACTAAGCAGTTTAATTAGATTTTTCTACCGTACTGTTATTATGTTATTAATATGTATCCACTTTTTCTGGGAATATTAACGAAAACGATATTTAACATTGATCCTTTTAATATGTTTTAGCAATGTGCGTGTATTTAATATTCTCTGGACATTATGCAAAATTGTACAAACAGTGGAAATTATAAAATAGCTCTATGTCGTTATATAAACAAACCCTACTCTATTACTCATAATAAGACACTGCGGTGCACTGAAAAGCACAGCATGGTGCGTAGTTTACTTTTATAGTCCCAAAATCTATAGCGATGACGGACGGAAGGAAGGACAGACACAGCCCGCTTATATTATAGACTAGCTGCATCCCGTGCTCCGCCACGGTAAATCTTTTTTAAATGTACCAACTTGGGAACAGAACAAAACTAAACACAACACAAACGAACGCAAAAAAAAACAACGAAAAAACAAACACAACACTCATACCATAAACACAATTTAAATGCAATCATAAAGGCAAATTGCTCACAGTCTAGCCCGTAGCGCCAAATCGCGCCCTTTCCGGTGATTTGCAACCCCCTCAAACTTTCGATTTGCACCCCTTCCACCCCCCCGCCCTAAAACTTTCGATTTCCACCCCCCCCCCCTCGCAAATTTTTTCCAACCCACTTTGGCGCCCCTTAAGGTCGGCACCCGGGGACATATGCCCCCCCCCCTCGCTACGCCTCTCCTATAAAACCCGAAAGATAGAATAATAATTAGAAAACAGTATAAATAATAGGCAGTATTTAAAATACCGTATTTTACCTACACTATTTCACTTTATCCATTCACGCATTTTTTTCCCAGTACTTTAAATTTTAAAAATTTACAAAAGAGTTTCATAACTAAAACCATTGCGCACCTAATGAAAGTGATGACGCGTCTATAATAGTGCTGAATAGTTGATTAAAAATTATAAGTAATAAACAGTAGGGCCTACATTCAGTGAATAAAATAAATAAAAGATTGCCTTTTATCAATCCATGCTAATTATAATTTTCTAACAATAATTTCCTCTTACACATCCGAATACTTTGCATTCACATTTTGCTAATTATATTATTGCAACACTAATTTCTTCTATGACGAACGTATATTTGCATTCACATTTTTTATTAGCGAGAGTTTAATGTATTTTTAAATTACCTCCTTTGTCAAAATTAGAAAAAAAGAGTTAAATTAATTTGATTTTTCTACCGTACTGTTATTATGTTATTAAAATGTATCCACTTTTTCTAGGAATATTAACGAAAACGATATTTGACATTGATCCTTTTAATATGTTTTAGCAATGTGCGTGTATTTAATATTCTCTTTACGTTATGCAAAATTGTACAAACAGTGGAAATTATAAAATAGCTCTATGCCGCTATATAAACAAACCCTACTCTAATACTTATAATAAGACACTGCGGTGCACTGAAAAGCACAGCATGGTGCGAATGTTTACTTTTATGGTTCCAAAATCTATAGCGATGACGGAAGGAAGGAAGGAAGGAAGGAAGGAAGGAAGGAAGGAAGGACTGACACACTACCAGCAGCGTTATATTATAGACTAGCTGCATCCCGTGCTCCGCCACGGTAAATCTTTTTTAAATGTACCAACAGAACAAAACTAAACACAATACAAACGAACGCAAAAAAAAAACAAAAAAAAAAACAAAAAAAACAACGAAAAAACAAACACAACACTCATAACATAAACACAATTTAAATGCAATCATAAAGGCATATTGCTCACAGTCTAGCCCGTAGCGCCAAATCGCGCCCTTTCCGGTGATTTGCACCCCCCTCAAACTTTCGATTTGCACCCCTGTCCCCCCCCCCCCCCCGCCCTAAAACCTTCGATTTCCACCACCCCCCCCCCCTCGCAAATTTTTTACAACCCACTTTGGCGCCCCCCAAGGTCGGCACCCGGGGACATATGCCCCCCCCCCCTCGCTACGCCTCTCCTATAAAACCCGAAAGATAGAATAATAATTAGAAAACAGTATAAATAATAGGCAGTATCTATAATATATACAATATTTCACTTTATCGATTCACGCATTTTTTTCCAGTACTTTAAATTTTAAAAATTTACAATAGAGTTTCATAACTAAAACCATTGCGCACCTAATGAACGTGATGACGCGTCTATAATAGTGCTGAATAGTTGATTAAAAATTATAAGTAATAAACAGTAGGGCCTACATTCAGTGAATAAAATAAATAAAAGATTGCCTTTTATCAATCCATGCTAATTATAATTTTCTAACAATAATTTCCTCTTACACATCCGAATAATTTGCATTAACATTTTGCTAATTATATTATTGCAACACTAATTCCTTCTATGACGAACGTATATTTGCATTCACATTTTTTATTAGCGTGAGTTTAAATGTATTTTTAAATTACCTCCTTTGTCAAAATTAGAAAAGAGTTAAATTAATTTGATTTTTCTACCGTACTGTTATTATGTTATTAAAATGTATCCACTTTTTCTAGGAACATAAACGAAAATGATATTTGACATTAATCTTTTTAATACGTTTTAGCAGTTTGCGTGTATTTAATATTTTCTTGACGTTATGCGAAAGAGTAAAAACCGTGGCAATTATAAAATAGCTCTATGCCGCTATATAAACAAACCCTACTCTAATACTTATAATAAGACACTGCGGTGCACTGAAAAGCACAGCATGGTGCGAATGTTTACTTTTATGGTTCCAAAATCTATAGCGATGACGGAAGGAAGGAAGGAAGGACTGACACACTACCAGCAGCGTTATATTATAGACTAGCTGCATCCCGTGCTCCGCCACGGTAAATCTTTTTTAAATGTACCAACTTGGGAACAGAACAAAACTAAACACAACATAAACGAACGCAAAAAAAAAACAAAAAAAAAAAACGAAAAAACAAACACAACACTCATAACATAAACACAATTTAAATGCAATCATAAAGGCATATTGCTCACAGTCTAGCCCGTAGCGCCAAATCGCGCCCTTTCCGGTGATTTGCACCCCCCTCAAACTTTCGATTTGCACCCCTGTCCCCCCCCCCCCCGCCCTAAAACTTTCGATTTCCACCCCCCCCCCCTCGCAAATTTTTTCCAACCCAATTTGGCGCCCCCTAAGGTCGGCACCCGGGGACATATGCCCTCCCCTCGCTACGCCTCTCCTATAAAACCCCTAGCTTGTCCTCAAACCGAAAGATAGAATAATAATTAGTAAACAGTATAAATAATAGGCAGTATTTTAAATATCTGTGTTTTACCTACAATATTTCACTGTATCCATTCACGCATTTTTTTTTCCAGTACTTTAAATTTTAAAAATTTACAATAGAGTTTCATAACTAAAACCATTGCGCACCTAATGAACGTGATGACGCGTCTATAATAGTGCTGAATAGTTGATTAAAAATTATAAGTAATAAACAGTAGGGCCTACATTCAGTGAATAAAATAAATAAAAGATTGCCTTTTATCAATCCATGCTAATTATAATTTTCTAACAATAATTTCCTCTTACACATCCGAATAATTTGCATTCACATTTTGCTAATTATATTATTGCAACACTAATTCCTTCTATGACGAACATATATTTGCATTCACATTTTTTATTAGCGTGAGTTTAATGTATTTTTAAATTACCTCCTTTGTCAAAATTAGAAAAGAGTTAAATTCATTTGATTTTTCTAACCTACAGTTATTATGTTATTAAAATGTATCCACTTTTTCTAGGAATATTAACGAAAACTATATTTGACATTGATCCTTTTAATATGTTTTAGCAATGTGCGTGTATTTTATATTCTCTTTACGTTATGCAAAATTGTACAAACAGTGGAAATTATAAAATAGCTCTATGCCGCTATATAAACAAACCCTACTCTAATACTTATAATAAGACACTGCGGTGCACTGAAAAGCACAGCATGGTGCGTAGTTTACTTTTATAGTCCCAAAATCTATAGCGATGACGGACGGAAGGAAGGAAGGAAGGACAGACACAGCCCGCTTATATTATAGATATATATATATATAGATATATATATATATATATATACATATATATATATATATAGGCCTATATATATATATATACAGATATATATATATATATATATATATATATATATATATATATATATATATATATATATATATATATATGTGTGTGTGTGTGTGTTTTATGTACTTTTATGGTTCCAAAATCTATAGCGATGACGGACGGAAGGAAGGACAGACACAGCCCGCTTATATTATATATATATATATATATATATATATATATATATATATATATATATATATATATATATATATATATATATATATATATATATATATATATATATATATATATATATATATATATATATATATATATATATATATATGTGTGTGTGTGTGTGTTCAATGTTAAGCTATTTAAAAAATTTAAATTAAAATGTTTTTGCAATATAAATTTTAAAATAATTCCATAAAATGAGAAAATAATTGTATGTAGCCTATATGTCTATATGATCCGTATTTCTGATGCAACAATCTAGGTCTAGTTAGCCTACATGTTTCGCTCTCATACTTTTAATGACGTAAGAGACATTAGGCCAAGATATTTTAATTGCTTTGCTAACTCAAGTGTTTTTAATCACCTAGGCGCTTGGAAACTATTCGTGTATAGGCATGGGGGTGTTTCGATGTAAAGTGAAACGACCAATTTTTATCTAGGTGCTGGCTCATTGGGCGTGGCAGCTATACCTATGCACAGTCTGAAGACCATCGCTACCATCTTACCTGTGTTTTGTCTGGTATAATGTGAAGACCATCACTACCATCTTACCTGTGTTTTGGCTGGTATAATGTAAAGACCATCACTACCATCCTCATCCCGTGAAATATACAGAACAAACACAGCAGAAAGTAAACACGTTTCTGGTAGAGCCCGAACTCCCCAATGTACTGTAGAACATCGTCAAAATTCATCTTCGATCTGAAAACAATTCTCTTCTGTCAGTGGGGTGATAGAACGTTGGTGTGGTGATAGGACGTTGGTGTGGTGATAGAACGTTGGTGTGGTGATAGGACGTTGGTGTGGTGATAGGACGTTGGTGTGGTGATAGGACGTTGGTGTGGTGATAGAACGTTGGTTTGGTTGATGTGGTGATAGGACGTTGGTGTGGTGATAGAACGTTGATGTGGTGATAGGACGTTGGTGTGGTGATAGGTTGATGTGGTGATAGGACGTTGGTGTGGTGATAGAACGTTGATGTGGTGATAGGACGTTGATGTGGTGATAGAACGTTCGTGTGGTGATAGGACGTTGGTGTGGTGATAGGTTGATGTGGTGATAGGACGTTGGTGTGGTGATAGGACGTTGGTGTGGTTGATGTGGTGATAGAACGTTGATGTGGTGATAGGACGTTGGTGTGGTGATAGGACGTTGATGTGGTGATAGAACGTTGGTGTGGTGATAGGACGTTGGTGTGGTGATAGGACGTTGGTGTGGTGATAGGACGTTGGTGTGGTGATAGGACGTTGGTGTGGTGATAGAACGTTGGTGTGGTGATAGGACGTTGGTGTGGTTGATGTGGTGATAGAACGTTGATGTGGTGATAGGACGTTGGTGTGGTGATAGGACGTTGATGTGGTGATAGAACGTTGGTGTGGTGATAGGACGTTGGTGTGGTGATAGGACGTTGGTGTGGTGATAGGACGTTGGTGTGGTGATAGGTTGATGTGGTGATAGGACGTTGGTGTGGTGATAGAACGTTGGTGTGGTGATAGAACGTTGGTGTGGTGATAGAACGTTGGTGTGGTGATAGGACGTTGGTGTGGTTGATGTGGTGATAGAACGTTGATGTGGTTATAGGACGTTGGTGTGGTGATAGGACGTTGATGTGGTGATAGAACGTTGGTGTTGTGATAGGACGTTGGTGTGGTGATAGGACGTTGGTGTTGTGATAGAACGTTGATGTGGTGATAGGACGTTGGTGTGGTTGATGTGGTGATAGAACGTTGGTGTGGTGATAGGTTGATGTGGTGATAGAACGTTGGTGTGGTGATAGGTTGATGTGGTGATAGGACGTTGGTGTGGTGATAGGACGTTGATGTGGTGATAGAACGTTGGTGTGGTGATAGGACGTTGGTGTGGTGATAGGTTGATGTGGTGATAGGTTGTTGTGGTGATAGAACGTTGGTGTGGTGATAGGTTGATGTGGTGATAGGACGTTGGTGTGGTGATAGGTTGATGTGGTGATAGAACGTTGGTGTGGTGATAGAACGTTGGTGTGGTGATAGGTTGATGTGGTGATAGGTTGATGTGGTGATAGAACGTTGGTGTGGTGATAGGACGTTGATGTGGTGATAGAACGTTGGTGTGGTGATAGGTTGATGTGGTGATAGGTTGATGTGGTGATAGGACGTTGGTGTGGTGATAGGACGTTGATGTGGTGATAGAACGTTGGTGTGGTGATAGGACGTTGGTGTGGTGATAGGTTGATGTGGTGATAGGTTGATGTGGTGATAGAACGTTGGTGTGGTGATAGGTTGATGTGGTGATAGAACGTTCGTGTGGTGATAGGTTGATGTGGTGATAGGACGTTGGTGTGGTGATAGGTTGATGTGGTGATAGAACGTTGGTGTGGTGATAGGTTGATGTGGTGATAGAACGTTGGTGTGGTGATAGGTTGATGTGGTGATAGGACGTTGGTCTGGTGATAGGACGTTGATGTGGTGATAGAACGTTGGTGTGGTGATAGGTTGATGTGGTGATAGGACGTTGGTGTGGTGATAGGACGTTGGTGTGGTGATAGAACGTTGATGTGGTGATAGAACGTTGGTGTGGTGATAGGACGTTGGTGTGGTGATAGTACGTTGGTGTGGTGATAGGACGTTGGTGTGGTGATAGGACGTTGGTGTGGTGATAAAACGTTGGTTTGGTTGATGTGGTGATAGAACGTTGGTGTGGTGATAGAACGTTGATGTGGTGATAGAACGTTGGTGTGGTGATAGAACGTTGATGTGGTGATAGGACGTTGGTGTGGTGATAGGACGTTGGTGTGGTGATAGGACGTTGGTGTGGTGATAGGACGTTGGTGTGGTAATAGAACGTTGGTGTGGTGATAGGACGTTGGTGTGGTGATAGAACGTTGATGTGGTGATAGAACGTTGGTGTGGTGATAGGACGTTGATGTGGTGATAGAACGTTGGTGTGGTGATAGGTTGATGTGGTGATAGGACGTTGATGTGGTGATAGGTTGATGTGGTGATAGGTTGATGTGGTGATAGGTTGATGTGGTGATAGGACGTTGGTGTGGTGATAGAACGTTGGTGTGGTGATAGAACGTTGGTGTGGTGATAGGTTGATGTGGTGATAGAACGTTGATGTGGTGATAGGACGTTGGTGTGGTGATAGAACGTTGATGTGGTGATAGGACGTTGATGTGGTGATAGAACGTTGATGTGGTGATAGGACGTTGATGTGGTGATAGGACGTTGGTGTGGTGATAGAACGTTGATGTGGTTATAGAACGTTGGTGTGGTGATAGAACGTTGATGTGGTGATAGGTTGATGTGGTGATAGGTTGATGTGGTGATAGGACGTTGGTGTGGTGATAGAACGTTGATGTGGTGATAGGACGTTGGTGTGGTGATAGAACGTTGATGTGGTGATAGGTTGATGTGGTGATAGGTTGATGTGGTGATAGGACGTTGGTGTGGTGATAGAACGTTGATGTGGTGATAGGACGTTGGTGTGGTGATAGAACGTTGATGTAGTGATAGGTTGATGTGGTGATAGGTTGATGTGGTGATAGGACGTTGGTGTGGTGATAGAACGTTGATGTGGTGATAGGACGTTGGATTGGTGATAGAACGTTGATGTGGTGATAGGACGTTGGTGTGGTGATAGAACGTTGATGTGGTGATAGGTTGATGTGGTGATAGGTTGATGTGGTGATAGGACGTTGGTGTGGTGATAGAACGTTGATGTGGTGATAGGACGTTGATGTGGTGATAGGACGTTGATGTGGTGATAGGACGTTGGTGTGGTGATAGAACGTTGGTGTGGTTGATGTGGTGATAGGACGTTGGTGTGGTGATAGAACGTTGGTGTGGTTGATGTGGTGATAGGACGTTGGTGTGGTGATAGAACGTTGGTGTGGTGATAGGTTGATGTGGTGATAGAACGTTGGTGTGGTGATAGGACGTTGGTGTGGTGATAGGACGTTGGTGTGGTGATAGAACGTTGGTGTGGTTGATGTGGTGATAGGACGTTGGTGTGGTGATAGAACGTTGGTGTGGTTGATGTGGTGATAGAACGTTGGTGTGGTGATAGGACGTTGGTGTGGTGATAGAACGTTGGTGTGGTGATAGGACGTTGGTGTGGTGATAGGACGTTGGTGTGGTGATAGGACGTTGGTGTGGTGATAGAACGTTGATGTGGTGATAGGACGTTGGTGTGGTGATAGGACGTTGGTGTGGTGATAGAACGTTGGTGTGGTGATAGGACGTTGGTGTGGTGATAGAACGTTGATGTGGTGATAGGACGTTGATGTGGTGATAGGACGTTGGTGTGGTGATAGAACGTTGATGTGGTGATAGGACGTTGATGTGGTGATAGAACGTTGGTGTGGTGATAGAACGTTGATGTGGTGATAGAACGTTGATGTGGTGATAGAACGTTGATGTGGTGATAGGACGTTGGTGTGGTGATAGGACGTTGGTGTGGTGATAGGTTGATGTGGTGATAGGACGTTGGTGTGGTGATAGAACGTTGGTGTGGTGATAGAACGTTGGTGTGGTGATAGAACGTTGGTGTGGTGATAGGACGTTGGTGTGGTTGATGTGGTGATAGAACGTTGATGTGGTTATAGGACGTTGGTGTGGTGATAGGACGTTGATGTGGTGATAGAACGTTGGTGTTGTGATAGGACGTTGGTGTGGTGATAGGACGTTGGTGTTGTGATAGAACGTTGATGTGGTGATAGGACGTTGGTGTGGTTGATGTGGTGATAGAACGTTGGTGTGGTGATAGGTTGATGTGGTGATAGAACGTTGGTGTGGTGATAGGTTGATGTGGTGATAGGACGTTGGTGTGGTGATAGGACGTTGATGTGGTGATAGAACGTTGGTGTGGTGATAGGACGTTGGTGTGGTGATAGGTTGATGTGGTGATAGGTTGATGTGGTGATAGAACGTTGGTGTGGTGATAGGTTGATGTGGTGATAGGACGTTGGTGTGGTGATAGGTTGATGTGGTGATAGAACGTTGGTGTGGTGATAGAACGTTGGTGTGGTGATAGGTTGATGTGGTGATAGGTTGATGTGGTGATAGAACGTTGGTGTGGTGATAGGACGTTGATGTGGTGATAGAACGTTGGTGTGGTGATAGGTTGATGTGGTGATAGGTTGATGTGGTGATAGGACGTTGGTGTGGTGATAGAACGTTGATGTGGTGATAGAACGTTGGTGTGGTGATAGGACGTTGGTGTGGTGATAGGTTGATGTGGTGATAGGTTGATGTGGTGATAGAACGTTGGTGTGGTGATAGGTTGATGTGGTGATAGAACGTTGGTGTGGTGATAGGTTGATGTGGTGATAGGACGTTGGTGTGGTGATAGGTTGATGTGGTGATAGAACGTTGGTGTGGTGATAGGTTGATGTGGTGATAGAACGTTGGTGTGGTGATAGGTTGATGTGGTGATAGGACGTTGGTCTGGTGATAGGACGTTGATGTGGTGATAGAACGTTGGTGTGGTGATAGGTTTATGTGGTGATAGGACGTTGGTGTGGTGATAGGACGTTGGTGTGGTGATAGAACGTTGATGTGGTGATAGAACGTTGGTGTGGTGATAGGACGTTGGTGTGGTGATAGAACGTTGGTGTGGTGATAGGACGTTGGTGTGGTGATAGGACGTTGGTGTGGTGATAGAACGTTGGTTTGGTTGATGTGGTGATAGAACGTTGGTGTGGTGATAGAACGTTGATGTGG